CAATCATCTTATGGGCTGAGAAATGATTCATGGTACAGACAGGTTTTCATATAACAAGAATTGATGCGGTAAATGTACAAAAGTCTGGTTGATATTCGTCAGCTAATGATATCACATGTTCTTGGCTAGGGTAACCAAGTCTACTGCAAATATCCAGACTAATATATGTGGATTGGAATAAGGTTCTGAAAAAAGAGGAATAAAGAAAACGGGACGAGGTGCAGAACAGAAAATAATAACCTCTTCTGTCTTATCACTGTTGGTAGTGCTCATCCCGATACTTGTAGTACAAGTCAAAGATGGTGGAGTGCGACAGGTGGACAATTCCATGCTCGATTCCTCATGCTGCATATTCAACACAACAGCATGTCCATTAAACCTAGATGACTCCTCATTGCACCTAGGGCACTGAATGTTAGCCCTCTCAGTAGTGCCATCACTGTGGTTGACGCTATTGCCACCAACGCCTACATTCTCCACACTCAAACATTCTATTTCGTCTTGGTTTGAAGTACTCAAAGAAGCTACATCAGTAACAACAACCGAAGAAACAACACTACCTATAGTGATTCCACTCTCGTTACCATCACGTTTACTATTCACATCTATCACATTATAAAGACACATGAGGTTTCACCTCAACCTTGACGTTGTTGTTCACGTTTATGTTCCGACTTTTCACAGTCAATGACGAGTTGCGAGATAGTTGGCATTCAGGCTTTAAAGCTAAACTACCACTGCTGCCATTTACACTATTATGATACTCCGTAGAACTAGATACAGTAGCCCGCAGACATCCTGATCGCGCAGCAACATGAAGTGCTGTGTCACTGTTTACGCTTGCTATTCTAGGATCAGCTCTAGGTCGTGTCAAATAATTTACCCTACGTGAAGGGTTCCGAACATAAGCTTCGTTCCGTACAGTCAAACCTGTTTCGTCCTTATTCATATTCACTGCACCCATTAACCTCTGTTTGCTCGAATCCAAATTACCATTCCTTGCATTTCGAGCAGTTAAGAAACTTCTACCATCACATACCTCGGATCCGTCTTGATGCCTAACCTTTCCGCCTTTTTCCTTCATCGCCATCCTCAAAAAAGCCACCTTATCTGCTACAGATACCGACTTCTCACTAGAATACACATCAAGGGATTTTAAATCATAAAGCTTACATGCTCGGTCTTCAGGAGGATATACCTTGCTAATACAATTAACAACTCTCTTAATTTCCAGGCGTGAGGTAGGTGCAAACACATTCGAAGGATTCCCATGTCCCGCACGTAGATGACTCATCGCTCTCATATCATGTCCTGCCTTCGTGCGATTAGCTAATCGTCCAAATCTACCACTAGATATCCTTGCACGAGACCAGTCAATTCATTGAATGTAGGCTCTCTATCCTCTTCGTTCCATTTAATCTCCAGCTCTGCCCACTGGACTTGCATACGATGATGTAAAAGCCTAATTATTCGCTCCAAAGCCAACTACCGGTGTCCTAGACATCAAATCTTTCTCAGATACCTCAAAGTTCTCGTCCAAACTTTGTACTTTAGTACCCTCTAATGATGGCCTACGACAATAAGTACTAAGCATAATATAATCCTTATCAGAGGGTGAACCCTTTCAACATGAAGTATCCTACGGAACTTGCCTTACATTCCGCGATTCTTCATGGGCTCCATCCCTCTGCGTGTTTGACTTCTTACGAGAACTCATTATAGCAATTGAAATTCAACGGAAAAGAAACAACAAAGACCAAATATTAAATTTCAGTGGTTCCGCTTCTTCAATTATTGTCGACAATGAGATATCCAAAACACTCTTCTCCAAACATCGTTAAGAACCAATTGACAGTAAAATATCCAAAATATCCTCTTCCAAATATAGTTTAGAAATAGTAAACGATAAGAAATCCAAAGGATGCTCCTCCAAGTGTTGTTTTGAAATAGTAAACGACAAAAAATCCAAAGGATCCTTATCGAAATATTGTTTTGAACTGTTAAACGACGGAAAATCCAAAGGATCCTCCGCGAAATAATGTTTCGAATTGTTGAATAATAATTTACTCTTGCAGTTCGCTTTTAACCCGCAAGGTGTAGGCTCACACGCGTCCCAGTCCGTTACTACTAGAGTATCAAATCCAAATATGGCTGTAGCCATATTAAATATCAATTTTAAACAACACATATATAGTTCAGAAGCAAACATGGAAACTTCAATGTAAGTACAAGATATAAAATTAATAACAATATACAATGATAAAATCTCAAAATGGAATCAAATGGAGTACCAAAATATCGAACAGAAGAGTCAGTCATATCATAACACAAATATATATAGATGGAGCGATTTTCCAAAAACAAAACCTTCAAAATAGATTCTACACTTGCTCCTCTCTTTTTAAATCCCTTAGTGGGCACCCTTACCGCCGGAGACGGAAATCCGCAAGGTAGGGTGATGTGTGACATTTTTGGGGTCGACCTTCTCGAACCCCTTCCTTCTTCGGGAGAAGGCAGCATCTCTGTAGATGCTGGTTGTCCGAGAGAAACACCTTACTGCCGTCAAACCTCTCTACAGTCAACAGTATGACTTTGCCCTCAGACCTTGAGTAGCTGCATTTAGTTTCATCATTCTCCAATCAAGCTGTCTGGCATGGTAGAACCTTCAGGAACATATGTTTCAGCCAATATAGCTCGGTTGGATCATCACGATAGGTAAACCCGAACATCACGTCAGGGTAGCAGTTAGGGTCAGGATGTAGGGGACGCAACCAAGGATGATGCAAATCTAAACCTTAGGCGAAAACAAATTGGTGCTATCACCCCAGAATTATTCTTAACGTTTTGTAAGACATATGCACACCCACACCTTTATTATACCTATGTTGGCTATCTCGTGGTATCTAAGTAATGCCGAGATCATGTCAAAGTTTACAGGCGAGACTGCCGAGCCTACGTGAGCAAGGTCAAAGACAAAAACAACATGAAATGTGTGTTTTAGGTACGATTAAACAGAAAAGTACAGTAAAACAGTTGCTGGTACAGTTGGTTATAATAATAATTGTTTCTATTACACCAATCGCGTTCTCTTCATAGTGACAGATCACTACAATTCCCCTTTGAGTTACAAGAGAATCAGAGGTGATAGGATTCTGGGGTACAGCATATTAGGCACTCCAAACCACCCCAACGCGAGCATCTAACCAATGCATCACCATCAGTCCCCTCGAGATGTTCCTCGAGAAAAAAACAACTTAAAATGCTGTCCCAGCCAAGGTGACTACATTCCCCTCTGTGTACAGATTTAAGAAGAGACTTGATAAACGCACACTGATATACGGACTAATTTTGCTTGCTGCATGCCTTGAGACCTGCTAGTTGTTATTACTGCCATTTCCTCAGATCGGTTACTTTATCTATGTCGCTTATTATATCTGTTTCTTTTCTCTTGCATATACTTCGGTGCACTCGCACAATCTCCACTACCAATTAATAAATTAAATTTTAAATTTATACACTTATTTTTGAAGTCTTCTGCTCATTAGTGTTAGAATTTTCTCCTTACTCCTTTCCAAATTGCAAATAACTGATCTCCGGTCTGATAATGTGATAGCAGCTGGTATCCAGAAACGTTACTTCCTTGGAGACAAACGCACTCACGCAAATCACGGACATGCAGATCCATAAATAAATTTCTACTGATTAAAATTATTGCGGTATGACGGCCAGACTACCATCCATTGGACACTACCAAATACTTGGGACCGTACCGAAAGAACGAGAATATAGAGCAAATAAATCCGTCGGTACTGTCAAAAGTAATGGAAGGGCTGGTGGACGAACAAATGAGGGAGTACATGGATAAGAATAAAATACTCCATGAAGCTCAACACGGGTTTCGGAAAGGCAAGTCGTGTGCATATAATCTCCTCATTGCATGGGACGGTTGGACATCCTCTCTGGACCGTAAAATACTGATGCACGTAATATTTCTGGACTTTACAAAAGCCTTTGACACAGTACATCACGCAGGCCTAATCGAAAAGGTTGTGGAAATGGGCTTCACTGGCTCACTCCTATCATGGCTCAGAAACTACCTTGAGAATAGAAAGTTTCGCACCAAGGTAAACAGAGGGCACGCGAGTTGGCGAGTATCCACATCGGGAGTTTGACAGGGGACCATCCTAGGCCCACTCCTCTTCCCGATATTTATTAACGACCTATTGGTCTCAGTAAGCTCACCGGCATTGATCAACGCAGACGATGCGAAGATCTGGAGGTCCATTAGAAGCGAAGAGGATTCGACTGAGCTTCAAAAGGACCTTGAATCTATTGAGAAGTGGGCAGTGAAAAACGGTTCAAAACTCAACCAACCGAAGTGCCACGTCATGTATTTCCTGCATCACATGACGCAAACGACCTATACTCTTAATAGAAGTCCGCTCTCTAATGTCTCCTCGGAGCGCGATCTTGGTTTAATAAGCACAGAAAGCCTCCACACCAGTCCAAACTATGTAGGGCATGCAGTCAAGGAAAATGCGACTCTTCACTTTATGCGAAGACAGCCTGGTGCTATCACACCGAAGATATTTCTAACCCTGTTTAAGACGTATGCGCGCCCACACTTGAAGCTTCACAACGTCATCGCACCCCCCTCTGCTTAAAAGAGACATAAATCTCTTGGATCGAGTGCGGAGACGAGCAGCCAAATGGGTGACAGGGTTGAAAAATAATCCTTTTCGATTATAGACTTCAGCACAAACGTTTGCAGTCAAGTCCCGAGACATACAAACTCACAACCAACTGCCAACTGACTAGAATTAGACACTAGAGTGGCTAGACCCCCATTCATTGGACAATACAGAACACCTGGAACCTTAACGAAAGAACAAGAATCGAGCGCTAAGATATCAGCTGATTTACACTAGCTCGGGAAAAAGATTCTAGATATTGGATATTGATGAAAAAGATCGAATATTGGATATTAGATACCTGTTGGTGGCGAATATGTTGAAAAATTGCTTACTGGAGCGCGCAGGATGATTAGAGGCTGTGTAAGTGGTTAGCGTTACTATCGTTTATGTTATAGTGTATTTTCGCAGCAGGATTTTACTCTGGAGTTTTGTTTCAGAACCAATACAAAGTAGGTCCTTATGAACCCTTACATTGGTCTAGATCCAAAATGTATCCACACCGACAGAACTTGGCGAAAAAATCATAACTACAGTTCAAACATTACTAGAGCAGAAAAACAAACCTAAATAACTGTAAACATCCTACATCGCAAGTCTTCTGTATCAAAAAGACACGAATTTATGAATCTCGACACCAAATTCTGTAGTTTTTTGCACCATTTACTTTCCTTAACACAACTGTGTTATACATTTATTTTACCTAGGAATATTGGAAATATTTCTTCACAAAACATTCTTTTTATTTCTGACTGGCTTGTTAAAACCGGAAAATTACATGTTATATCAAATCTCTTAGTAGAGGATGTCGATTTAGATGGAAATCTTGATGTATATTTTTCTACTTCTGATGGTACACTGTACGGTGTTTCAAATGTGCTCAAATGTAGTACGGTAAAGCCATGCAGTGCTCATCATGAGAACTGGCCTGTTACCCATCATGGTGAAGTTTTCTTTTCGTCTCCACATGCGGTAAGAAAGCGGAATATAGCTTATTATTATTAACAGTTTTGGAGTTTCATGTTACTTTTTGAGTCCGTAAGTAAAACAATCATCCTGATGCCTTTTATGTAGAATTATAATTTACGGTAATCTTTCCCGCCCTATTTTTCACTTTTCAGAAAACTAACACTGGACATAATGGTGACTATCATTTGGTTTCCATATTTTGGTAGAAATACCTAACATAGTAGGCTTGTAGTGTTTATTCATTGTTTAGATTCTCCGTAGTATGTAAAACCAATTGTATGGTATCGGTGTTGTATGTCCAACAGCCTTTAACGCCGTGATTTATGTGGTCTAGGTTGAAAAACAATAATCGAAATGGATGTTTTGTTCTTCATTCTGTTCGGAACCATTTACATAGTGAAAAGCTGTGTCTGCTGTTCGTTTACAAGTGTAAATGTATTAATAATAACATACTTGCATCGGCTGCTTGCTCTCTATAGCTTCCATGCACATGATACTGTATTTTTAAGCTTTTCCAAAATTATTAGATGAATAATACAAAGAAAATAAAATTTCTTTTACTCATCCTTGCTATTAACTGACTGTCTAAAACCATTAAGATAAATCAACGCTCATACCCGTCACCCATTGGTTAAATGTTAGGCTCTCTAACCATTAAACTACAATAATATATATTTTTTGAAACCGTGAATCGATCAATGTTAGACCACCATTAGAAACCTGGATGCACTGGACGGCCGTTTCGTCCTAGTATGGGACTCCTCAGCAGTGCGCATCCACGACTCCTGCACCCCGCAGGATTAGAACCCAGGACCTTCGGTATTGTGCGCGAACGCCCTAACCGTTAGACCACTGAGCCGTCCAGTGCTTCCAGGTTTCTAATGGTGGTCTAACATTGATCGATTCATGGTTTCAAAAAAATATGTAACTTAACAATCTTCACAACCCCGTGATGCAAATAATATATAAGTTAAAATCACTCTGGGTTATTATGTTCGAACAAGCAAGAATGCTTTCGATCATAGTGACCTCCGTTCTTGTTGTCTCGAATTTGTTAGAAATGTATTTCTTGGGAAAAATTCTTATGATGTTTGTAGTCTGGACCAAGTAGTATTACTTGATATTCAGTGAAATATACATTCCCAAAGCTGTCAAAAATGCACTTTAGTGGTTACAGATAGATTACCATTTGGAGACATGAATAGACCGTGCACTCACGTAAATGTACTTTATTGAAATACATTTAAATAAAACATGTAATTATGTGCAAAGTACTTGTCATTTAGTACTAATATCAGGTATCCATTTGATCAAGGTAGTATAGTTAACTCTAAACTCGAAAATAAACATGATTACTTGAAGGCTTTCTAGATCCTGTCAATGTAAAAAACGTGAATCTATAGTTATAAGCTGCATTAAGTATGTTCACATTGCTTTTCAACAAATTCCCGTTTTTTTTTAAATTATTTTTTCATAAAGGTTGACGTTTATGCTGACGGCTTGAAGTCGGTACTTTTTATTAGCTATCATGGAGCAGTGTTTACTTATGATTATCATGGAAACTTATTGTCACATTTTCAAGTAAGTTCTACTTTTTGCCTGAGTCAGGATAGTTCTTTACATACAGCTATACCCAATCAGAGCTGCTACTTTGATGTGGTGGTCGGGCTTGTCCGTCACAGTGACCTAATCAAAATATACTGTCTAAAACTGTTATCTCTTTAAGTTCGACAGTGCCAGGCAGGTAGGACAGTTAGCGAGCAGTAAGGTTAAAAATGCCAATCTCACGGTCAGAAGGCGAAGTCGTACTGTTGAGTGTACTGGAGTGTGATGGAAGTGAGGTGCCTCCATCCTACAACCAGCATCTGCAGCGATGCCTCCTACTCACAACAGGAGTTAAAAAAGGTCTACCCTCAAAATGTTATAACTCACTCTATTCCACGAATTTTAATCTCCGTCTTAAGACGTTTTGAAGCATAAGGGTAACCCTTTGTAAACCTTTGACAGAAAGTTTGCGTATGACCGGACTCAGGCGTTTGTCTCGATTTTTGTGATCGCTCCCAAAACAGTTCGACCACTACTAGCCTAGTTTTCTTTTCAGTGCTCTCAATCGAAAGTGGCAACTGCTCTCATAAATCGTATAGTATTTGAGACCCTCTCGTTCATGATCAGATTCTTTCATAACTTAGTATTTCTTATGCATCCTTATCATCAACCTCTTTTCTGTAACTTTACCCCCATTATCCATCAATCCTAACCACCTAAGTCCACGACAAGCAGCGTTCGACTCTGTATTTACTTTCTAAAATCAAATTAGATGGTATGAAATTCAAAGCCATAACCCAATAGTTAGTTATTTAAATCACTATTTCATGCGTAATTCTATTAACTCATTCTTTTACTTATTCCTATATAAATACATACCCAACCAAAATTTATGGACACTAAAACTGATGAAAAGTTTACTTAGATTCATATAAATTTCAATTCATAAATAGAGGTTTTATAATGTTATTGTCCAAAATGGCTTGTCAGAATCTCTAGCATTAATTAGTACCTCAACTTACTGAACGATATTCAAAACTTACGCAAATAATAGTACCACTGAAGAGGGATAATAATAATTTTGTAGATTGTAAATCATTCGAGAGCTAATCATTCTTACGACTTAAAGAACTGTAAAGGTACCTGAGATATTTTAATAAGTAATCCAGTTGAACCTCCTGTATCTTTTAGTTGTCTTCAATCATCTAAGCATGACATTAGCGACATCAAGTAGATCGTATGTGTTACGTATGCCTAACCACCGACTGCCTCGACGAGCTATGTTTTGTGGTGTAGGAGTAGGTTGGAAGAAAGTTAGGGGCGGCCAGACCAAAACATGGCACAAATCCATGAAGTCACTGACAAGTGGACTGAGTCATGTTGGTAGATGTAGACTACCTGGTTGGGGTCCGCGAGACGAAAGTCATCAATGGTTGGAGACCTTGAACGACATGGCTCAAAATCGTTTGCAATGGCGCAGGTGCATCCACTCTTTGAGCTCTCTCAAATCCTAATCTTCTGGATTCGTCAGCACCTCTACCTTTGTCTTTCTAACCTTATCTCACTGAATTATATTTCTTGAATAATATCTTCGAACCCTAGTCTTCTTTATTAACATTAATACCTCTACTATCTTTATCACTATGGGATTTGATTTGACATTTGCGTCTCTGTGCTAATGTGATGGTATGGCAACATGAACTTATGTACATACGTACGAAGTTCTACGTTGCAACTGACTGACTCAAGTAGATCGTGCATAGTGATTTGATAATTCTAATTGTGGAGTCGGATTATGTTGAAATTCCATAGTTAATTTCTACTGGATTATGTTCTCATCCTGTACTTTGAAATGTTCACATGTTTGGTTTGATAAATCTTTCATTCCTCAATATTAGAAAATCTATTTCTCGTTCGTCTAGATTCCAGATATCATTTTGGATCGAAGTATATTATCTCGACGTAATCCGGACAAGAATTTATTTGAATCTATACGCTGGGCATCTACTGACAACCAGTTACTGGTAAATAATAAAAAGGTTTGTTTTGTATTATTTAATCTGTTGGATGAACCACTAAGCTTATTTATTCGACAGTATTTGAATATAATCTGTCATAGTGGGCATCGTTTTAAATTTTATTGTTACTGTTTTGTGATCACGTATAGTGGGTAATGTTAAAAACAACTATAGTTAACTGCTATTGATCACTTACCTCTATCTTCTGCCTTTACAAACTACATTTTACAAATTTCGACTGATAAAATCAAATTGATGCACCGCATATATTTGCTTTTTGGTGTATGAAGAACGGTCATCTTGTCTGTACCATCGGTGTTTTAAGTAAGCAAAAGCTATTTCAACTACCAACTGTCTCAACACGTAAACTAGCCAACTTGGTCAATTATTTCATTTTGTATAATCAGACTAGTTATTTTAAATACAGAAATAGACGTGACTGTATACGTATTGTACTAAACCAAGTTTATGTCTGTTCCTTTTGAACAGTTCTGCTTGATTTTCTTCCAACCAGATTTTTCATTTATTACTTTATTCCTTCATTTTATCAATATTTAGGTCTATTGAAATTCTTGTTATAGAATTGGCATTAATGCTCTTCACTTTTTGTTAGGGATTTTTTGCGATTCTCAGAAATCAACTTATTACACTAACCCCGTAACTGAATAATCTAGCGTTTGAGTTGATGTTTCTAGCGGATTGAGATGACTATTATGTGGTCTGATTGATGATACACGTTATTTGTGTTAGAATCTGATAATGCACAGCCTGTGTATACTAGCACTTTCATTCAGATTTACGCACATTTGCAATCGGAAAGTTGATAATCCATTGCTTTTGTTAATCAACTTAATCAGTCAGTCCATTATCAACGTAGATTCTGGGACAAATATGTGTTACCTCAAGTTGTTATACAACAGTAGAACGATTTAAAGGAGCTAACAAAACACATAGTGATTAAATCAGGATAACACAGTAGGAATTTATGATGAGAGAGACTGAATATCGAGAATGTGGTTCAAGAAAAAAAGTGAAAAGATATACGTGCGGAAATACCGGGGTACACCTCTGTCCCTGAACTAGTTTGAGTCATTTTACCAAACATCTGATCATGGTTATCTTGCTTACCCTAACTAGTTAGTTTACAAAAACCAACTAAAGCTCCACAACACACTACAATCGCTAATATTGCCGAGTTGATTTGCAAGAAAAAGAGACATACTGGCATTAATTAGTATAGGTCTAGGCTAGAGAAGTGTTTTCATTGGTTTAATGAATTTGCCGATTTTGTAGTGATAGAAAATGTTTGTAGTTCAAGTTTTGACTGGTTTACGTTCCGTGTGCTAAATGACTAAATTTTCTTTTTGAATAACATTACCAACCATTACTGTAAGTGAGAGTGACATTTAACTACCAATTACTCGACAAATCAGTTCGTCTTGATGATCGTTTTTGTGACTGGTTGTCTTCCGTGTTTTTTATCTCCATGGATCCTTACATTCTCATTGACATTTTTGTTCGGTTGGTCCTGATCCTGGATAAAGTGAAAGCTTGCTTTATCTGTGCATTCACAAAGTCGTATTAACAGTGATACGATACGTTACATTATTGCTTATATCTACTCGTTTAAACAACTGTAGACACAAATTTAGAAAAATATTAAAATCCAGGATTGAAGGAATCTCAAACGTATCAAGGAACTTTTAGAGACATGGCATGCAGGCTAATGTGTAATTGACGACCATATCGATCTAAATCAGACCCATAAGGGAAAGGTCATTCAATCACATAGTTTCAGGTTAACTAAGCAAAGTGCAGTCAATGAAAATGCAATGATATAAAAGTATAACAAATCTGCGTAAGAAAAAGTAGTCACTATTTAACCTTTGTGAAATTTTAAGAAGTTAATTTCTACCCTAAGTAGACACTGATATTGTCGAGAACAATTACTGAAATTTCGCGATCAAAACATTTAATGAAACGGTGACGAAAAAGTTGAAACGATACTTGGTAATACAATCGATAACTAGATCACTGGATTACGTGATTAATATACAGACACAATTCCAGTCAGTCAGTCAGTTACAACGTAGAACTTCGTACGCACGTACATCAGTTCAAGTTGCCATACCACATTATCACAAACGCAATCGTCAATTCATATCCCATAGTAGTAGAGGTAGTAGAAGTATTAGCAGTAATCGGAGAGATTAGGGTTCGAGGATATTATGCAAGAAGCAGAATCTAGTGAAATCAACCTAGTAAAGGAAACATAACGGTAATGAGGAATTCAGAAGATAAGAATTCAAGAGGTCTCTAACCACCGGTGACTATCGTCTCTCAGACCCCAACCAGGTAGTCGATACCTACCGTCCACTTGTCAATGACTTCATGGATTTGTTCCATGTTTTTGTTTGACCGCCCCTAGGTTTCTTCCAACCTACTCCTCCTACACTAGAAAACATAGCTCGATGTGGCAGTCGGTGGTTAGGCATATGCAACATATGTCCCAACTACCTCAACTAATGAAGTTCCACTACTTCATCAATTGATTTTCCATCCTTACCTTGTACTCGTTTCCTAACAATAGCATTGTTTACTTGGCTATCTATGATCCACGAAGAATGCTTCGGAGACACCTATGATCGAAAACCAGTAACCTACGAATATTCTCGCTTCTTACTGGTCATGTTTCACAGCCATAAACTAGGACGAAGCGAACTGATGCACAGTAGATTCATCATTTGGTTAGCAGACGTATATCTCACCTACGTCATAATTGACGCAAGTTGGCAGAAGCCAATCGAGCCTTCTGTATCCATGCTGAGATTTCGTCAGTCACCAGGCCACCAGCACTGATGAGACTCCCTAGATAAGTGAAGCAGTCTGCATGCTCGACTACTTCCCTCCCTACCACTAGTTTAGGTACGGATGAAACCCAATCCTGAAGCAACATTTTGCATTTCGAGGGTGAGAACCGCATCCCGAACATGCTTGCATTGTTGCTTAGGATAGTCAGAAGACTTCATTTTGTCAGCCACTTCACCGAATGAAACTATGTCATCAGCATACTCCAAGTCAGCAAGCGTGTCTCCTGGTAGAAGGTTCACTCCTGAAATGTCAGACGATGATGTTAACTCTGAAAGCATATCTACGACAAAGCTAAACAAGAGTGGGGAGAGTGGAAAACCTTGATGGACACCACTTGAAGTAACCAGTTCCAATGACAGTTCGCCATAAGGTCTTATTCGACCAGTGGTGTTCAAGTAGAGAGCCTGTATTGTATAAGGTTTATGTACATCGTTGGTACACCTTTTAATGACAAACATTGCCACAAAACCTCGCGATTGACAGAGTCGATTGCCGTTTTAAGGTCGAGAAATACGACTATCGTGGGACGTCTGAACGTGTGTCTTTGTTCTAGGACCTGACGTAGTGTGAATATTTGGTCTGTACCTCCACGTCCAGGTCTGAAACCAAACTGGTTTTCTCGAGTTTGCTCTTCACGAGCTATAGTTAGGCGTGTAAGAATTATCGAGGCTAACAATTTAGACACTATATTAGCTGAATTGACCCCTCAGTGATTGTCACAAGGGGACTTTTCCCCATTTTTATAGACTGAGACAATCTGTAGCTGCTGCTCTTATGTGGTGGTTGGGCTTGCCTATCGTGATAATGCAACCGAGCTATATTGGCTGGATTACGTGTTTCTACCATGCCGGGCAGATCGATTGGAGAACGCTAAGACTAAAAGCAGGTATTCAAGGTCTGAGAGTGAAGTCATACTGTTGACTGTAGAGGGGTGTGACAGCAGTAAGGTGTTTCCCTCGAACAGTCAGCATCTGCGGCGATGCTGCCTTCTCACAGGGAAGGAAGGGTTAGAAAAGGTCGACCATAAAAATGTCACGCCTCACCTTACCTCTCGGATTTCCATCCCCAGTGGTAAGGCTTTTCAACAAGAGTAGAGCTAACATTTTAAAAACTTCTTATAAGAAGGCCGTGTGTGACCGGCCTCAAGCAGTTTTACCTTGTTCTCTGCGGTCACACTACCAGGTCATTGAGACCAATACTTATCTAACACACAATTCCAACCGACAATTGAGGACCAAAATACTAGTATATTAACTTAGTTTCAGTCAGTCAACGCAGTGAAGTCCAAGTCAGATAAATTTATGCTACAATATAATCGAAATCCTCATATATCCATTTCTTGTCTCACTAACTAATCACGTTTCTCGAAGTTTCATCATCAACTTCAGAGAATACAATCCTGTTGATTGCATTTGCTTGATGATTCATGTGAGATTCTTGAATGTTTTTAAAATTTTAGATATATTTTTTGGTTGATAAAAAAGCTTTTGAATTATGATTTCGTTTGTAGAACTTAACTTGTCTATGTGTGTTTTCTTATATAACCCATAGGATATTCGTCTGCATCCCATAGTTTATACAGATCCAATTATTTTAACTTCATTAATTGTTCCATCGAATATGAATGACATAGATTTCTTTTATGTTGATTTTTTGCATATTGCATTAAATTTCATCACCTATGATCCACATATCACAACAACTTCGCTAAATGAGTCGTTTTCTTCAGATGAAGGTGTACTAGTAGCAGCAATTGTGAATATACCTCGTTGTGCTTTGCTTTATTTGCCGAAGAAAGATTCCAAGTTATGTTCACTACGTCTTAAAGTTTTGGAAGTTGACTGGGTAGGTTATTATCGATCACCATAGATTCTAGTTTTTCTTAATCATATATGTTTATAATGATTACCTAAAAACGAAAGGCGAACAATTTCGGAGTTGTGTAAATTCAAGAAGGTAAGAGAAAATAGGTCAATGATAACAACGTCTTAGACTGTGAAGCCGGGTGACGCAATTACTGAATACTACCGGAGAAGCATCAGTTTCTTAAGGATTTCAAGTGCGCCTTGCTGACGAGTACCAGCTAACATGAAACTCAAGTACAGAGTTCATAGAACTTTGACATGAATATACGTTGACCTAAGTCTCATGCAATATTTAACACAACTAGTAGTAACGGAATCGTAGTAGTAAAGGAGTAAGGGCATTAGACTTATGTAGTAGCCGTTATGTTGAGAATAACTAAACATTCAAAATATGGTTCGAAAATCCAGTGAAAAAATGTGTATAAAGAAATGCTAGAAAACACGATTACGATTAGGAGTGAATATACTTGTCCTACCTTGATCAATTCTAAACCATGTCACCAACTTCTCCAACGAATAGTGTCAGTTATGCCTGTGACCCGGTTGTTAGGATCTATAGACGTGACTGAGTTCAATAGTTAAAGCCTTCGTAGACTGTTTTCATGTCTCTGTTTGACTACTCTCATCATTCTTCTAACTTAAACACCAGCATACTCTACTTAACACATGATGATGAGGATGTTTCACTATTCTGTTAGATAGATATTTTATTTGTCTCTTGGTGATCATATATTTAAATAATAAGTGTATAATTTTGTTTACTTTTTTTCTATGTGTTTTCCTTCTGATTATGTTTCAGTTGTCTGTTAAATTTCCACCATATGTTTTCTCATCGCCTACTATAAATGCCAATGTACTGGAAGAGACCCGAGTCAAAGATCATTTATACGTTGACAGCTATTATAGTTTCATCACTACATTCAGCGGAAATATACATGTGGTTCAATTATCAATGTTAAATAGTCATGGTGGTCAACTTTCGCCTGATGTCAATGACATTTTTATTGATTCCTATTCTCTGCATGTCACTCCAATGACCTTGTCTGTAAGTCTTGCATGTGTTTTTACATTTAATGACTTGTTTAAAACAAGTTTAATAAATGATAGAGAATGTTGAAACTTGTATTCCTGACACTAAAAACTAAATAAATGCTAGAGCCGGAATTCCGATGATTCAAACAGTCGTTTCTTCAGTCATGCGTCCAAATGAAAGTAAATCAATTAAAGTTTGACCCTGTGATCTACCGGTTAAACTAAATCGTTTAGGTTAATTGTTTAAGATTTATATATATGGATGTTTTAGTTGTGGAGCTTTCATTGTTCTTCTGAACAACAACTTCTATCTGAAGCTTGTACTAATGTAGTGAACGAGAACACAGGTGGGGCAACCGAATTGTATTTAACGAAAATTACAGAGTTACTCAGTAAAATCGGAAAACCATATCGTAAATCGTTAATTTGCAAAATATCAGTTCATCATATCGAACTGGACTGTTCCTGCTGCAAAACATCAATCGATTGTCACTATTCATGCGTTTCATACAAATTCCATTGTGTTCTAACTCTTACTTTCTTGATCTTCCCCCATCTTCTGCTGCCAGACATTACGTTTACACTCACGTCATATACTACTTATAAGTAGCTCGCACCACACTAATGGTGTTGTTCAGAAGAACAATGAAAGCTTCACAACTAAAACATCCAGCTCAGAGAACGAAACTCCTCCATAATCATCTATTTGAGTTACAAATTTCCTCCATCATCTCAAAATTGTATAGATAAATACTTAAACTTAATTACACCATTGTATATTATGTTCTTTAATTTTCAGTGTGTACCGTCACCATGTCCATTAATTAAAATGAAATCGAATTTACTACAGTCTAATGTACATACTTGTTGTTTACAAGTCGATATTTATTCTTGTCTACGTCTTATTCGTCTTGTACCAATTAAAAAATATCATTCTCAAGTTTATTGGACATATTGTCCCACTAATACTACTACTATTACCAAATCATTTGAGTATGGTGAACAAATTGGCCAAGTGACAATTGTTCCTGGATGTCAAAAATTTCAAACTTGTTCTCCATGGTCTGTTTACACAACACCTGATGGGTAAGTTTTTTACTTTCTCTGACAATATTGGTAATAATTTTAACAATTTATTACTTGAATGTTGTTTTGATTTGATTTTGACCAATTTGGTCTCGCGTGCTGTTACGGGTATGGGGGCGGTTGTCACTTCCCGGCTGCCCACACCGTGGAAGGTTGTTTCTTGAGCGACCTGAAAAGGAAGATGGATTAGTGTTGGTGCGTGACCGCAGAGCCCAAGGGACAACTGCTTGAGGCCGGTCAGGCACGGCATTTTTATGAAAGGTTTTTTGAGGATTAGCTCCGTTCTTAAAGGCCCTTGGTGGGCACCCTTACCCAAGTAGACGGAAATCTGTGAGTTAGGGGAGGTGTGATATTTTTAGGGCCGACCTTTTCTAACCCTTCCTTCCTTGTGAGAAGGCAGCATCGCTGCAGATGCTGGTTGTCCGAGGGAAACACCTTACTGCTGTCACACCCCTCTGCAGTCAGTCAGCAGTACGACTTCGCCCTCAGACCTTGGGTAGCTGCTTTTAGTCTCATCGTTCTCCAATCGACCAGCCTGGCATGGTAGGACCTGCAGGAACATATGTTCCAGCCAGTATAGCTTGGTTGGGTCATCACGATAGGCAAGCCCGACCACCACGTCAAGGTAGCAGCTTCGGTCTGGTGAATGTTGTTTACCCTTACTTTTTGCTTTTTTACTTTATGAATTTATTCTTATCGTGGTGTTGTTCTAAGGTTTGATTCTGCATACACTTTTTACAGTATAATACATCAAGTCCAATATCATTCATTCATGGTTCGAAATCGTTTATAATGGAGCTGGTGTATTCACTTTCTCTTTTCCCTTGGATTTTAGGTTTTTATGTTACTTTATAATATTTTGTTTCCTTTTCACTGATCCGTATTGTCTTCTATAACCGTATGCTAATCCTTTCTATTACCAATAATACTCCTAATGATTCTATTAATCTTGTAATTATCCTGATAATTTCATCTCTTTGTACTGATGGGGCGGGGAAGCTGAAACTGGTGTACACACGTAACAGGTTCTACACTGTGTTTGATTGACCGACTGAAATCCATTGTGCGAAAGAAGAAATCAAAAGAAGTGGGAAGATCTTAATTGCCAAGCCGAACTATAATGCATACAACTCATATCTATCTACCTATATAATATACAGATTTTCCTTTTGATCTAGATAAGAACACGCAGACTGAGACTTTGAAACGGCATGTAATCAATATACTTCAATTCCAGTGCCTCTTTTATAATCTCTCACTTACAATTTAACTTATGTTTGTACTTGTCCTTCATATCAATGATTTAGATTATCTTTCAAACTTGATACATATCTGTACCGTTTTCTATATTATCGCTGACGAAGTTCCATATCCAATCTACATAGCTTTCGGGAGGTTCTAGGGTTGCTATTAAAATTACTAATCATTCACGCTATAAACTCGTTAGTCATTTGGATCATGTTATGGTTGGAAATCCCCAAATGCCCTGATACGGCCGATAGTGGAGAAAGTTCGCTCCCACTCTAGAAATGCTTCCATATGGCCATGAGTATATAACCATCCCCAGAGAAGTCCTGCTCATTGTCCCATGACAAAGGTGTTGTTTGCGAAATCCAGAAGATGGAAATCGAGTGTCTTGAGCTTTGACCAGGTTTGCAGGTACGAGTTTTGAGGACAAATATTAGTTTTCTTGACCGTTTAAATAGATCATCAGGGAGTTTTAAAATCCATAATATCAAGCTTATAATGACATTTCCACAGAAAGATACTACAGTGGTTTTGTTCAGGGAAGGTTAAATCATCTGCAGAATTTCAGGATAGGAAAAATGGTGAGTCACATTTTTGGTCGAACAACCACCTGTGGAAATTGAGTATGATACGTGGATTATCTCATTATCAACTCCACAATTGCAGAAGAATGTATCTTGGGGTGGAATTCTGTAAGAACTGTGGAAACTTCAGCTGAAAAAGGTGAACGGAAAGTGAAATTTTCTGTCAGCGTGACTTGTAGTTTATCAGTAATTGAAGAGGAATGCAAAGCTACAATAACTATAAAACTTTTGTTTTGTAGAACTAATTCCACTCATCGAATGCTTTGTGATTACGTCAACGAACTCTTGTTTCGGTCTCAACACATTTTCGATTAAACTCGGATAATTATATGTTTCCTGTGGTCAAATATCATAATCTATTATCTAGCGTTAGTACTTCAAAATATTCATTTCTCTTTTCAGTACAACTAATACGTTATCACTGAACTATTCAAGTGATAACCTACTTTAGGATAGCGCTGATCACTTCATTCTGACATTGAGTATTAATCATTGTCAAATTATCCAGTTTCCAGGGATATTTGAGAATTGTGTTGGTTGCGTCCACGATGCAATTACTAAACTGAATCACTCCATACCATGTTGCGTTTTATCTGGTTCTGGTTAACTGTTGAGTTTCTTATCTAAAGCTTTCAAGAGGCTAATATCAAAAAGATACGACTTGTTTTATATCACACCAATTGGAATCGATAAAATTAGTCAATAATTGTTCTAAAATGTGTTGTTTTTACATATTTTAAAATTTTTTTCAACAGTTATGCACATGCTGTCGAAATCCAGACAGGATTATCAGCTCCGGGATATCCTGTTAGTCTTTCCACTATGAACTATAATGTTACAAATCTTTCTATAGGATCAGGATTATTATATCAAAGCGAAGATTTTACATACTGGCTGGTGAGTTTAATTTACCTGTATATATATAATGTATTGTTTACAAGCTACATAGATCCTATAACTAATACACTACAACACTTTCACGCACGACTAAGAAAGTGAGAAGAAAAAAAAGCTGAAACTTTTTGAGAAGTGCTTTAACATTCTCAACCAAAATCAAAATTTTAACAGAACAACATTGTTTTTTAAAAAAAGGAAGAACAAATATTACCTCGAGATAATATAGTAAATATGACAAATCAAAAGCTAAAACAACTAATCAGACAATAGCGAAATTTCATTGAGGAAATATGAGTTGAGAAAAAATTACCACTAACTTCGGAACTAACATATTTATTTAAAAAAAGGTTGCAAAAATGTCGATAATTTGAGAGCTTCTTGGCACAGAATATGCATAACCTGTCACACATACCTATCCCTTAGTTCTATTTTCTTATATTGTTGAAGATAATAATAGATTGAAATTTTGGGAAGTAATAAGATTATTGTATGAATTGCGAGATTGAAAAAAAAATGAAACGACTTTTAAAAATTCTTTCTGATGAATTTAATACAAGAGGTTAGGCGTTCGCACACAAGACCGAAGGCCCCGGGTTCGAACCCTGCGAGATGCAGGAGCCGTGGATGCGCATTGCTGATGAGTCCCATACCAGGACGAAGCGGCCGTCCGGTGCTTCCAGGTTTCTAATGGTGGTCTAACAATGATTGACTGATGGTTTCGAATGTGTAAAAACACTAATCTCCATAACGCCTAATTGATAATTTAATACCTGTTAGTTATTTCCATAACTCATTGTAGTTATGTCATAACTAACCGATCAAATTGTGGTTTAAACGCCCATCACGTGATCTGATCTGACGTGTCTGTAAACTTCCTTTGTTGTAAATGACCTACTAATTGAAGGACATTATTATCTTACTATATTGATGTGACTCATAGTTTTATTCATTCCCATAAGACACGCTATATTGGTCGGTATGTTTGATCGTTTCACTTGGTAACTGTAATTTCTTTATTTATTGTACTAATCTAAGTTTAAAGCAAAAATGGTCTTGTTCTGACTATAGCTTTCCCGTAGACTGTGCTCGCCAATATTGCGTTTACAGTTCTAGAAGTACATCTGTGGGACGAATTAAATCCTACAATACCATCTCTACTAATTTTCAAACTATATTGTTGTTTTACTATTGTTTTGTATTATCTAGCTTTTTACTGATGTTTATGCAAATCTCATTCATTTACGACTACATAATCCTTTGGTGATCATATCAATTAATCATGATAGTATATTACATAATCATCAGTCTAATTCATTGCAGACAATTTCATTATCTCCAAAACCTATACGGTTACAAGCTGGAGCATTGACATCGCCTTCATATCTTTTATTGTCAAACTATGGTTTATTATTATTGAAGAGTAAATCATCTCCATATATTGTTCAACGTAATTCAACATCATTATTAACTTATTCAAAGTATATTGGTAAGTGGGATTGTATATTTCCTCAATTAAAACTATACACTGTGTATTTTGTTGTTTTATTAAGAGTATGCAGGATTATTCTCGTCCTAGTTGAAGCACATTTTAGGCAGTGTAAAAATTTCCATATTGTGTTGATTTTTTTTTAATAGTCATTGTAAGAAAAAAAATGGAATAAAACATGTACAGTTACTTCTGTGTCAATTATCGATCGAATTCACTGATATAACGCTCCCGAAATCGGTTTGATCGAAAGATTGTCTTTACTGCTCGTAAATATCTGTGTACAAAAATACAGTGATGGTCGACGGTTCTACAGTGAGTCATGCTTAACAGCACATCTAAGACTGAGTGAGTGGCTAAGAAGAACCGACTTATAAATTTTCGGAGTACTTAAGAGTTTTGGTCTATCTGATTCAGTCGGTTTAAGTGAATCATAAAGTTCAGACAAAATTATCCCTTCTTGTTTCAGTTCTTTAAGAGCACTAATCGACTGTTTCTCTACCGTCTCACTGATGTATTTATTATCAGTAGATTTTTGTGAATTTAGCAAGATCACATTCATTTTATCCATGTATTGTGTTTGATTCATTAAGATTAATATCCGTTCCGTCATCTTGCTTGTTTATGACCAAGATTAACATATTCAATTCATTCTATTAAAGTATTTCGATGCTGGTTTGGTTAGTAAAGATGCTTCGAGACATGCTTACTATTTTCTTTATACTATTAACAGTTATCGACTAACATGATCTGTTCAGTGAGATTGGAATCAAGTCAATTGTTTTCGAAAATTATTTGATTACACGAGCATAAATAATCAACCAACTAGATATTGATAATCGACTACAGTTTCAGTTTTTAAAATAGTTACACCTGTAATCTGTATTTATTTATTGATGATTATTTTCTATGGAGAAACTTTTAAAAAATAGACACTCACATAATGCTATATCTATCTTATTTTTAGTTAATGTTAACAAATCTGTTGCACAGTTGATGAATCCTTTTCAATTTGTAAGTTCCACAATTTCTATTTTTAAATATTTCTTCCTAGTTTTCACACTTTGTGTAAATAGAAATACAGAAATTCATTCTTGTGTAAGAACTTATTGTGCTTTGAGTACTTTAAGAAAATAGATAGATTTCAGTTAGATACCTATCATGTCGAAAGAATTCATGTTCCTCCGATGAACTTGGTCAATCGAAAAAAAATAGATACAAATAGCACTAATGATGAACTAAGACAAACATGACATTCATTACTATTTAGTGATTAAGCAAACATCTATCGAATGTCAATCGCTTGTTTAATTACTCAATGGTAGCATCTCAGAATGTGAAACTGAATAAGTTCGGTTCTAGTTCATCAAGCAGAGTTAGCCTCCTTAAACATTACTAGAACACTTAGCTCCCGACCGTAGCTGCTACCTTGACGTGGTGTTCGGGCTTGCCTACCGTGATGACCCAACCGAGCTATATTGGCTGGAACATATGTTCCTGTACGTTCTACCATACCAGGCTGGTCGATTAGAGAACTTTGAGACTAAAAGCAGCTACTCAAGTCGTACTGCTGACTGCAGAGGGGTGTGACAGCAGCAGTAAGGTGTTTCCTTCGGACAACCAGCATCTGCAGCGATGCTGCCTTCTCACAAGGAAGGAAGGGTTAGAAAAGGTCGACCCTATAAATGTCACACCTCATCCTACCTCACGGATTTTCGTCTCCGGCGATAAGGTTGCCGACTAAGGTCTTTCAAGAGCAGAGCTGATACTCAAAAAACCTTTCATAAAGAGGCCGTGCGTGACTGGCCCCGAGCAGTTGTTCCTTGGGCTCTGCGGTCACGCACCCAGGTCTCCAAGACCAACACTAATCTATCTTCCTTTTCAGGTCCCTCAAGAAACAACCTTCCACGGTGTGGGCAGCCGGGAAGTGACAACCACCCCCATACCCGTAACAGCACGAGAGACCAAATTGGTCAAAATCAAATCCTTCTTGCACACTTAGCTGATAAGTACTAACTAAAATGATTTCTTGTAGACTGCAATCAATCTTTTAATATATAACATATTACACTAAATATTGTTTGCTAAATTTGTTTTTCAAAATTTTGCAGATCAGTGCTCAATTTGTTAATGATTACCTTGAACCGGTTGATTCTGTCATTTTTGATGATAATAAAAGAACTTTAAATTATTTAATCAGAGATTGTTCTTATCAGTTGAATTTATTGAATGAATCTCATTTGGCGAAACGATTTTTAGTCAGAGTAAGTATTGTTAAGAAATTTTTTCCTCATTCAAAAGTATGAATATGTGTACATGTTTACTTTATCTGTCAGTTAAATATCAGAATTGTGTTTAGGAGCAGTAACAATATCAGCGGTTGTAGAAAAATCTAAGCATAAACAACATGATTTCAGAGTTTGCAGAGTAAGACGATAATTTTTGACTCAATTTAGTGGAGGATAGTTAGTGTTGACCCATCTTTCCCATTATGACCAATTCTAAACAATGCTATCTAACGCCTCCAATCGTTTGACGTCGTAATCACATGGACCCTAATTAAGTTGTTTGCACTTAGTAACATGACTCTGACTAACAGTTAATAACTTATGAGTTGATGGCACATCTTGATTGATCTGATCGGCTCCAGATCTCTTCTACCTTACTTTTTTTTACAAGCCAATGTCACATGTTGAGAGGTAGATAGCGATTAGACATATATAGACATTACGTAGAACCCTCTGCAGTATAACAAAGAAAATTAAAGGAGGAATTTCTTACCACTTAATTTAAATCATGCGATAATACAATAATTGATGAGGATGAACCAAAAATTTAGTGTATGATACGACTGGTCACATGAACTCAAGTTCCTCGATGCGAAGTAATCGACCCATTAAACTAGGATACGTTTTAGACAAATAAATAATATCTGACCGAAGATTAAGAATCAGATTTAAAATAAAAAAGCTAAGCTACATCTATGATAAACTATTAGTACCTTACGATTATCTATCTCTAATGGTTGTGTTTTACATTTGTGGAGTGATAGACAGTTAACTACTGTACCGTATACTCATACTTTAGTTGATAAGTGAACAATGTACCAGTGACTATAACTCATATATTGATCTATCCGTATTAAATAAAGGAATTTCACCAAGCTGCAGTCCTAGGAAAATACTATCATTCCAAGTACTGATGTTTATATATATATTTAAAAAGAATTTCTACTCGACTATTACTAATGCTAATGTTGCTTCTTCATCTAGTTATTCACATCGTTTGGTGTACCAATATCAGAATGGTCAAATGCATATGTAACCAAAAATTCGGCATGCCTCAGTAGTTGTAAATGTTCCACTGGTTCATTGTCTATACAACATAGCTTACCATCTGGTTCATATCGTAGTGAATTATATCTGTCTGTGATTGATACAACCAATGGTTATTTCATTGTGAATTATCCAATGTTAACAGGTTCTACGGAAATTGCTTCACGTATTATGTTACATATTGGATTATATCAAACACAATTAATTGTCAGTTTAATTTATTTACCAGGAGTTTATTTATTCATTGGATTAACAATGATTCATTGGTTTTCCATATTGACAACAAAGCAGACTCTAAATATGCATGGCAAAATGAAGCAATCAATTTGATTCTAGTCTATAGAATACAGTGTATACAGTCAGTACAACATCACAATAGTCAGTTAACTATCGCATTATTCTCACCTACCTTTTCTTTCTCTGTGCATACAATTTCTCCCTTTCTTTCCTATAAATCAATTAGTTCATTTTCATGAGGTTTTCGCTTATTTCCCTGTGTTCTCAGCACATCAATGTTACAATCAATGCAATGCATGTATGTAAAACCATTCCATGTATGTATAAGGAAGAAATAAAATACAATGTATGCAAAAAAATAAATGACTTGTATCATCTCTGTTTTATTTATGTATATATCATTATGTATGTTCGTCAATTACAATTTTGTATCTGTTTGAATTATTGCATGTGTATTAATACATTGATGATTCAGATCTGGATCGAGAATCGATATCGTATCAGGTTTCAAAAAGTCCGTCATTGTATCTTTCAGGGTTTTGTGTTTGATGTTAAGGACTGTAATTAATCGATCTATCTCAGGATTTGTGCATTCTAGGCGAATGGTCTCGATATTGGTACTTAGTCTCAGCTTATTTATTAATACAGTTGAATGTTAGTTAATAGTGAAATCTAGAATGCTCGTTTTGTTCTATTTTAGACTTATCAGCTTGATATAGTTGTTTCTCAGTGTTGATGTTCACTCTAGGGCTGGAACTCAGTACTTTTCGTTTTCAACTCCCAGTACGTTGTTCGGTGAGCCACTGAATCACTACATTCAGTAACCGGTACTACTTCAGCCAAAATTTTCGGCGCTATGTTACTTACCTTCCTTGCTAGGTCACATACTTAGCTGTGTGATTTAACAGCTAATCGGTCAGTTGTAACTCATTAGATCCATGGTATTATTCCTTACTTTCGCCTGTTACTCCCAATGGAGCGTATTCCGCTGACCAGCATTCTCCAGCCTACTCTGTCCTAGGTCTTCCTTTCTAGTTCTGTTCAATTGTTGTTCATTCTCCTCGTTTCTGTCTCAGTTTCTCGGTGTAATATGTTTCTTGGCCTTCCTCTTTTCCGTTGGCCTTGAAGATTCTAGGTGAAGAATTGTCTTGTGACGCACTTGGATGCTTTCCGCAATTTGTGTCCTATCTACTTCCAGCGTTTCCTGATTTCTTCCTCCGCTGGACTCTGGTTTGTTCTAAACCACAGTAGGTTGTTGCAGATAGTGTCTGGCAAGCGGATGCGAAGTATTGCTCGTAGGCAGCTGTTAATGAACACCTGAATCTTCTGGATGATAGCTTTCGTAGTTCTCCACGATTCCTCCGCATACAGTAGAACTGTCTTAACATTTGTATTGAAAATTGTGACTTTGGTATTGGTTGATAGTCGTTTTGTGTTCCGGGTTCTCTTTAGTCATAGAAATGTAGCCCTTGCTTTGCCGATCCGCGCCTTCACATTTGCATCAGATCCACCTTGCTAATCAACGATGCTTCCCAGACGTGTAAAGGTTTCTACGTCCTCCAAGGCGTCTCCATCAAGAATGATGTGGTTTGTGCATGTTGTGTTTTATCGGAGAATCTTGATTTTCTCTTTCTGTATGTTGAGACCTGCTGCCGCACTGGTCGTCTTCTCTTGCATTTGTTGTTGCCTGTGCGATAAAAGAACCAAATCATCTACGAAGTCCTTATCGTCCAGCCGCATCCTGGCTGTCCACTTTATACCTTGGTTCCCTCCAGTTGAAAGATCAATGGTGATAGTAAGCAACCTTGCCTGACACCGGTCTTCACCTCGAACGAATCTGTTAGCTCTCCTCTGTGCACGATTTCGCAGTTTAATCCATCATAAGAATTCCGTATGATATTGACTATCTTGTCAGGCACGCCGTAGTGTTGTTGAAGTCTCCAAATAGTAGTCCTGTCCACACTATCGATTACTTTCTTGTATTCAATGAAGTTGATGTAGAGTGGTGAATTCCATGCAATTGTTCCACGATGGTCCGTAATATTGCACTTCGGACGGTGCACAATCAATCCTTACGATATCCAGCTTGTTGATCTCGAAGTTGGTCTACGAAGTCTTTCAGTCTGTTTAGTAATACCCCGTTGAAGACTTTACCAGGTATTGAGAGAGGAGTGATGCCCCCGTTAGTTCTCACGCCTGCTGAGATCGCCTTTCTTTGGTAGCTAGATGAGGTGTCTTGCTTTCCAATGTGTTGGTACTTCTTCTTCATCCCAAATCTTGCTGAAGATGATGTGGAGTAACTAATACGTCTGCTTTTAGTGCCTCTGCTGGATTGTTGTCAGACAAAATAGCTGCTCATTGCTACTTACCTTTCAATAGGACCTTAATTGAGATTATTATACAACAGATACGACCTATAAATTAAAGGGCTGGTAAGTTTTGTTTAAATTAGACTAGGTATCTATTACAGAGCAGGATTCCTGGATTTCTACTGAGAGCATGATCATAGATAGGATGTAACGGTGAGATAATTCGTCCTATGTCATTTGATAACAGTCGAGCAAAGTTTGGAGTGTTTGTCATTTTGGATTGGGAACTTAATGGTTTGGATAAATCATGCTGCTCGGGATATCTGAAAGTTTTACATTCAGTGATATGTAAGGTCTCGTAAGCGCTTTGCTGAAGAGTGTCAGGATTAAGACAACACAACACTCCCACGCTATTCAGTTCTCCAGTTGATAGGTAATAATCGTTAACTGTTAGTTTGAAGTAATTAGAGTTATAATAAACTAAATGGTTGTCGTAATAAGTAGATACCAATCTCCTAACTATCAAAAATTAGGAACCGTATCGTACGAACATTCTGTGTACCTAAATTAATGGTTTCAGAAGGGGCATCAACATCGTGACTTCCGTAGGGACTCGGCTTTCATCATGTAACGTCATAACTCTTCTAAATGCAGACCTTCTAACTCCCAGGGCAGAGTTTAAATTATTTGTTTTGATTAGCTTTTTTTAGCGAGTTGGTTTTCTATAGGATGGAGTCACTAACCCCATGCCTAACCCTCCTTTATCCTGACTTGGGATCGGCAGTAGCCCCAAAGGGGTCTCCAGGCGGAGTTGAATATGCTTCATGTGCTAAAAATTAAACATCTACCTGAGCGAAGGAAAATCTTTTGGTTTACTAGTTATAAATACCCAAACATAATGTCGAATTAATGAGTTTAGCATGTGTGAAAATTATCAAAGAACTGAGCAGGAAACATAACTTATTTTTCGAGAATTGTATATGCATTGAGAAGGTTCAAAACAATCACTTATATGATCTTTCCAATTATATTATTTATTTGTAACTATTTCAGAGTTATGTATCTAGGCCTTATAATAGCCAACTGAAAATGTATGATAAATGTACGACAGGTCTAATCTAGACTTAATAAAAAAACAGTATTGTGGCTGGAAACTGGGAGTGAATGGAGTACACATTGTATTCGTGAGCGAACGATCGACAATGGGCAAAGTGTATTAGCATTTGTAAATTACAATTGTTACAATTTAACCAAACTATCTAAAAATCACTAATGGAAGATGGGCTAATTAGATAGAATTTCAATAGTAGAAATCTTCACAAGATTTTTATATATGAACCATCATTAGGTTTCGTATTGTTTGGATCGGATAACTTATTGACAGTTATTTGTTTCCATAGATTTACTATAGAACAGCTTTTAATGTTATACGAACTTTATTTGAAAGATACATTGTTTCCGCGTTTTAGTTATGCGTGATATTGACTGCACATATATAGTTTGGCTAAGAGCTGAACACTTTATTCTATACTTAGTAATGATTATTTACACTATAACACTGAAGGTCATGACTTTTTTAAAATTTACTATAACCTGTTGCCTGATCCATATTCCATCATTGTAAACCAGAATTTGTTTCTCTGATACTGGACATGCATTTAAGTAATGAGTTTCAACAAGCCCTAAATCTCTAGGTTAAATCCAGTATTTTTCCGTTGACTTTAACCATTTACTTAATTACCGAATTCATTTCTTTCGTCTGTAAACTAAATTCTCTTTTCTATTTCAGTTGTTAAGTTAACTTATCTATTATAATTCATGAATTTCTCAGAAATTCTACAAAATTTATTATTCCCACCTCTTCCTTTGCCTACTTTGTCAACTCATCATGATATTGAAGTAAACAAATGGCCAGTCTATAACAACAATGATATGAATCGCAAATTATGCTTATTAATAAGTCATGGAAATGCTGTACATGAATTATTTTTCATCGAGTGTATTAATCAATTTTTACAAAACTATGCTAACATAAGTAAACCTCATGATGAGTCTCCTCCAGTTCCGACTATGGTCAATACCAACAATAACACATTTGTTGATAGTCCAAAACAGTCAACTCAATGTCTGATTTTCTGTTTTCATAAATCATGGAGTATTTATGAAAAATTGCTAAATCCTATACATGCTGCCAATAATGTATCATTGAAAAATAACTTCACCATAATTGATATGACTATGATGCTACAAGATTTATTATTAATTTCAAATCAAAACGCCCAACTAGATAATGATGATAAAGGTGTAACCACTGATGAGAATATCGGAACGATTATTAAGAACTACATCAAAGATAAGGTAAATAAATGTGTGTTTTCTTCCGAAAGTAGCATAATTTGAAGACTTTTGTGATTATGATTATGTTTATTTGTGTTAAGAAATCTATCGAGAAAAATAGTAACTGTTGGTGATGTTTTAGGTTTTCTAGTTGTGAAGCTTTCATTGTCTTTCAAGTCAACATTTTTAACACTAAACACCTGGTAGAACTGAGCTATTCGAATTTAACGTTAGTCATGTTTTATGGAATTCAAATAGCTCATTTCTAACTGAAATTTGTACGGGTGATGTTGTTTACAAAGATAGTGACAGTTTCACAATTGAACTGTTTAGCTCAAAAAATGCAACTGCACTAAGATCATCCTCTCGAACTACAAATCTCTATCTCAAAATGTAACTTATCTCATGTACAGTCACTCTACATTTTTTTATGTGTACTATTGATACCACCCAGTTGCCTTGATGCAATTAGGTAAAGAAGGCTATGGACCTATACGCTGAAGATCAAGTGTTGTAACTTCTGTGTCACCGCCCTTGAGGCATTCTGGAGCAGATGGGTTTTATGACGATTCTGCACGATTTGAATTGGAATCAAATATAACAACCTTAATTACCAGTTCGCGCTACATATCTGCTTCGTGACTCGCGAGACACGAATTTAGTCTCATATATATGTTCTTTAGCGCACGTTACTGACGAGTGCCGCCGCAGTATGAAGCAGCTATATATAAAATTCTTATGCATATTGATTTGATTTGTTCACGATACAGCTTTACACATCTTGGTCTTTTCTCTCTTGCATCGTAGGCCGGTCATAAATACGGAAGCCCATATCTTAGTCGTCATATCGGACTGGCATATCATTTAACACTAATACCATTAATCACAATTATGGAAATTGTTCTTTACTGTAGTTAAAACCGTATCACTTTAGATTATATACTCACTGTATAATTTTCGTTTCTTTTCTTAAAAAAATCACCAACTATTTTTAGACTGATGAATTTCTCAAGAATAATTCCACGGAAAATCCTTCAGATGATGTAAGACAGCAACAACAACAACAACAAAATATTGGTATTTTCATTGATAACATATCAGCTTTATATGATTTGGGAGTTACTGTACGTGAATTAGAACAATTTTTATGCAGTTGGCTTTATAATTCACGTTATTCGCAAACTGCTATTAATGTAGCTAATCTGTTAGTTTGTATTGGGCTCCATATTGGAGATCACTTTCAAGATTCAATTGTATCAGAATACGAGCCTGCTTTGGTCCATCTTGTTGCTTTATGGAAAGCTCGTGCTTCAATTATATTAGAATGTAAACCATTATTAACAGGTTATACATCACTGGTTGATGGTCAGGTAAATTAATAATTTCTTCTTTGTAACCTATTTGGTATTTTACGTGATCTTCGTTCTCAAAACTATTGATAAGGTCGATCCTAAAAATGTCACACCTCACCTTGCCTCACGGATTTCCGTCTCCAGCGGTAAGGTCTTTTAAAAAGAGCAGAACTAACACATTAAAAACTTCTCATAAAAAGGCCGTGTGTGACCGGCCCCAAGCAGTTGTCTCTTGTTCACGCTGCCAGATCGTTAGAACCAGCGCTTATCCTATTTCCGTTTCAGATTCCTCACTAATTTGACTTCAATTTGTCCAAATGAAGAACCAACTCGGTTTACGCTCCGTGTATCCGTAAGCCCTGCTGCTGCTTCTCGTGGCCTCGCTGGTGTAGATATAGCGTTGATTCCTAGGGCAGAACTAGCTCTCCTAGACGGGATCCCAGTAGATAGTCGCTTGTGCGCTTTCCGACTGAACGGGACAGTAAAGGCTCGGAAAGATAGGGACACTCATCGTTGCCTTTTCGTCGTCCCTGCTTATGCTCCCACTGATTGCAACTCAGACGAGGTAAACGATGAGTTTTACAGAAAGCTTTCTAACCTTCTTCAAAAAGTTAAGCGCTGTACCGTTATTATAGTGGCTGGTGACTTTTTTGCTCAAGTACGTAGACTCAGTGAAAAGTAAAGAGACTAGATAATGACGACCGTCTGCTGCAGCTATGCTCAGATAATTGCCTATTTCTAGCAAATACTAACTTTAAGCATAAAAGAAAACATCTTTTGACACAGTATCCCTCAAGCCGGTCACAGCGCTGGATCCAGCTAGATCACATCGCTGTCAGCCACCGTTGGAAAGGCTCGACAGAAGACTGTTGCTCGTTCTGGGGCGACTGTTTGGTTTAGTGGGAGTGCATATTTGTTAGCGTCTTACTAGGCGTAGGAAAGAGAATACAAGGAAACACCTTCGAGTTCTACTTATTAATAGCAAAACTAAAATTGGATTTCAGCAGCAGCTAGAAAAACAGTTTGGCGGCCATTTAAGTGGTGCCCACCCAGAGGCAGCCCGCAGCTATGTTCAAAAAGCCGCGGAAGCATCAGTGATATCTGCTAGTAAAGTAAACCAGAATGCTATGAAAAAGCCATGGATCCCAGTAGCATCCACCGAACTGATAGACGCTCGTGAACTCATCCCACCTGGCTCTGAGTACGATGAGTAGTGGAGTCAGCTGAGGCGCAGGCTCATAAAAAGTCTGCGCAACGACAGCAAACATTGATGGGTAGCGAAGGCGAGAGCGATGGGAAAGGCAGCGGCAATAGGCTCTTTAAAGGAGACCGGTATTAGAAATCCATCTGTTAACGAAACCATCGCAGAAAAGGATGGTCTAATTATTCATTCTCAATCCAGGAGACTGGACCGATGGGCAGAACACTTTGGCCTTCAGCTACGCTTCAGTTACCCACTTTCTCCAGTTAATTTTAATGGCGAATCTGCGTAAGTCCTCCGACCGTGATTGAAGTTGAGTGAGATAGCTACAGGAAATGTGAAGCGAGAGAGATAAGCGGGCCCTTATAGGTTAAAGCCTGAAATATTTAAGGATGGTGATCCAGTTTTAGCAACTAGGTCTACTGAGATCTTAGGTAGAATTCGGGAACCTATTTCATCTTACTTTTCAGGGGCAGACCTTTTACCAGGAGACTCGCTTGTTGACCTAGATTATGCCGATGATATAGTTCTACTCGGTGAAGACGCTGACAAAATGAAGTCTTCTCACTACCTTAAGCAACAATGCAAGCATGATCGGGATGTGATTCTACCGGTTGGGATGCAAAATTTTGTTTCAGGATCGGATTGCATCGACATTTGAACTAGTAATAGGTGGTGAAGTAGTTGAACGTTTTGACTGCTTCACTTACCTCGGGAGTCTCATCAGTGCTGATGGCCTGGTTTGTGATGAAATCTCAGCATGGATACAGAAGGCTCGATTGGCTTTTGCCAACTTGCGAAAGCAAGCTATCCGTTTGTTGACCAAAGGGGGAGTGTACCGCACGGTAAATCGCCCCGTCCTACTTTATGGCTGTGAAACATGGCCAGTCAGAGTAGAAGATAATCTTAGTTCACTGGTTTTCGATCATAGGTGTCTTCGAAGCATGCTCGTTTATCTTGGGACTATCGAGTAAGCAGTGGTGTTGTTTGGAAACGAGCACTAGGTAAGGATGGCAGATCAATAGATGAAGTAGTGAAACTTCATCAGTTGAGGTGGTTGGGACATGTGTTACGTATGCCTAACCACCGACTTCCGCGACGAACTGTGTTTTGTGGTGTAGGAGTAGGTTGGAAGAAAGTTAGAGGCAGCCAGACCAAAACTTGGCAGAAGTCCATGAAGTCACTGACAAGTGGACAAGTTGGACAGCCAAGTAAGCAATGCTGTTGTTAGGAAACGAGTACTAGGTAAGGATGGAGAATCAATAGATGAAGCAGTAAAACTTCATAGGTGTAGGTAGTTGGGACATGTGTTGCATACACCTGACCACGGAATACTTCGACGATCTAAATCACTGACAAGTTTATTGAGGCATGTCGGTCGATATAGATTGCCTGTTTGGGGTCTACGAGATGATAATTATCGATTGTTAGAAACCTTGAATGACATGGCCCAGAATCGTTTTGCAACGGCGCAGGTTCATTCATTCTTTGTGTCCTCTGAAATTCTAATCTTCAGAATTCCTTGTTACCTTTATCCTTTCCCTTATTGCGGTTATTTCACTGTATTATACTTCTTGAATAATATCCCCGAACCCTAAGCTCTCTGATTACTGTTCATACTTCTACTACCTCCACTACTATGGGATATGAATAGACGATTGCGTTTCTGTGATAATGTGGTATGGCAACTTGAACTGATGTATGCACCTACTGAGTTTCACGTTGTTTTTGACTGACTGACGCTTTTTCGCAAGATGTGTTCACCATGCCGTCAGACATTTGTTTTCGAAACAGGCAGATCCTTGTTTGCCTTATATCATGTCTTATAGGCTTTAAAACACTGATCGCACCATACATACGAATCCGTCACTCTTCGCTTCAACATTAACGTCAGACCGACATTCCGCTGCACACTACTTGTAAACCGCGTTGAGAGTTTACGCCACATTACCTCACCATGGAATTTGGCCGGACAACTTCATCCTTCTGTACTAAGGTTGTATGACAACTTGAATCTATGTGTATACGTGCCAGCGTATGGGTTGCAACCGACTGTTCAACTGCCAGCCACAGTTTACTATGACTTTTTTAAGGTGAAAATCAGCAGTCTCATGTAAAGGTAAGACAATGTGCTTTTTAATATACATTAACGTTGTACAGTTGATTCCTATTGCTGGCAATCTATTGAGCTCTACCTTTTGTTTTCTTTTTTTTTCAAAATCAAGTTAATTTGTTGGAAAAGTTCAATAACGAACAATAATGATCTTCAAAATGTTACCACTTCGAGTACATATCATTTTCATGTTGAAGGTAAACATATCAATTGTTATACTCCAGGAACTACAAAATTGTTAACATGAATTTTCTTATATCTATCTTGTAAATAAATAACTTTTTTTTTATAGTAAAAAGAATAAAATAATCCTTTTGTTATCATCTGAACAATTTTCATGTATGCTCATTTTATTGGATTCGCTAGATTAAAGGAATCAATCATGACTGATTCATGTACTCCGGATCAGACTAATGGCCTTCTGTTTGACTAAAACGACTGGAAATCTCAACTCATATTTGTCCACACAATGACTAATCGGAATATAAAGACAGAAAGAAGATTTAGCGCATTTCTGTCGACCTAAAAACGCCGGATTATATATCTCAGTTAGATAACTAACTACAAGGCATTACAAATAGAAAACCACAACTTGTACATAGTCATATGTGATAAAAAAAACTGACGGTAATTTAGGTGCAGTAAAACACGTAACGTAGAATATGACCAGCAGTGGAATCCAGGATGTGTGTTTCGTCCTGTTTGGAACTCGTCAGGTGAATGTACCTGCACCCGTTGGACAAGTAAGTGGGTATCTAGAATGGGTAGCTAAGTGGATAATCATATCACGCTGAAAGCAAACGATGCTCGGTTCGAGTCGAAACACATCCTGGATTCCACTGCGGGTCACATTCTATCTATTATATATGAATGTACGTCATAATGGCAGTCCGCATACAATCCCCATATGCCCACCAAAACTGACCTAATTTCAGTCAAAATATCAACAACGGGATAATTCAAACTGTGTGAAGTCACATAATAGTTAGCATGTGAAATAAAATTTCACAATATGAGTTTTATACAAAGTAACATCTGGGCAACTCAAACTCAGTCCGTTCACTTCAAATGCCATTGCGTTATCCACTTAGCTACTGATTCTTTATAGCTTTTCACTTGTATTGGTTGTATGAATCTTCAGACTGGTATTTGGAACTTCAATAAATCATTGAACGGTACTAATTTCAAGTTTTGGAGTGAACATCGATTCTGGAACACAGTTGACATCCAGATGAAAAATTGCAAATAGGAAGAAATGCCTATCTTATATTAAATTGCTAGCCGCTATCTATCTCTGTCTATTTAATAATGTTTGTAAATTAATGGCAACATCAAGGTAATCTGTCCGGAATGCACATACACCGAAAGAGACTAATCAAATGCAATCTTGAACATCAATGGAAAGATTCAAACAAACAATGTATATATAGTTATTCTAAGTCCCAGTTATGCGCTTCTATTGAACAATATATTTAAATGATATTTTTCTGTATACGAGTTTCATTTAAACTGATAGTGAATACATGATGACAGTGTAATGTAAAATTACGGTAGTTCATTACCAAGCAATAAGTAATTCAGTAAATCTCAAGCAAACCTCAATAACCGTAGGACAAAATGTACTGTATTATTACCAAGATTAAACATTTTTGTAAGCATTTTCAATAAAAAAAAAGAATGATACACATCTCATGATGACGCGATGATAATCGACTTTTTATCCAGTTAAAATCTAAACTAATGGTTTAAAAACGGTAATTGTCCCACAATTCTAGACTAATAATAGCCTGCTTTGTAATGAAACAGAATAGGACTTTCTGTCTATCATTTCAACAGTCTGTTTTTGTTAGATTCTCAGCTGTAAATTTGTAAGTATTTCTAACGTTTTCATCACTTATATTTGTATATTGAAATTTTCTTCACAAAGCCATCATAGTCGATTCAATACTTCAAATTACCTTCCTCTTACAATCATATCGGCAATCACAATCCATATAAAGTTATAATTGTCTTTATTTCTAAATCGTTTCATCTTATGTAAGGGATGGACAACTCGAAATCCTATAAATTAGTGTATGTGATAAGTATGACAGAGTACAGATCGTTTACACATATAGTTACTTTTATCTGTATTAATTAAATGAGTTTATTTAATGATTCAGAAGTATTTATGTAAAAAGCTATCGACAAACATTAGGTTAGGATCGTAAAATAATCAAAACTAAATGATTCAAATCATTTTTAGACCACCATTTGGAACATGGCAGCACTGGACTGCCTTTTCGTTCAAGTGTGGTACTCCTACTTGTGAAAACGAAACATTTCAAACCATGTTATTTGTTAGGTTGAAAATCAGTCACGTACAGTTTGTCTAATCTAGTTTACTGGTTAAAAGCAATAAAACTCTATTTTTTATACTCACAAAACTATTTTTGTAGTCACACTCTTAAATGGTTTTACTTTTTTCTACTGTTACTATAAAGATACATGCCATTAGTTATGCATACAATAAAATACAATGACAAAAGTTTCTTTCAATAATTCAACAGTAACAATAACAGGTCAAACAGATAAATAAACTTAAATTATTAGATAGTGAAGAATACGTGCGGAAAGAGGCGAAAAATGACAAGCAAATACAGGATGTGAAAATTATAGTAAACCTAATAAAATAAAATCTTTTATTAGGTTATATCCGGACAAGGAAGGGATAAAGGTGTCAGAAATTCCTTCTGAACATAAACTTACGCTGAATGTTCAGATTCCTATGGCTTCCGCTATATATAGAAGTCGGGATCGAACTCCGTCGGGAAATGGTGAAGGTATACGATAGATCTCACAAAATGATTCGGTTTTATTTATATTATTACCCTAATCATTCAGATGTGCCAAGATAAAGCTGCGTATTGTTTTAATCTGGCCCTTCATAAACCATGCTGGGAGATGATTTTGTGACAAGGAGAATTGTACATATCTACAACTAGGCAGAGAAGACCGTATAGTCTTGGTGTATTCGATGCAGTCAGTTTCAGCTAATCATGAGGTTTTGACTAGATTATTCCATTTCGCTTTGGTTTCTTTGGAGAACTAACCAGTTGTTTCTCTACATTTTGGTTGATGCCTTTATTGTCAGTAACTTTTTGAAATTGGCTAAGATCTATAAGCATTATTATGCGGAGAACTGATCACTTTCACGCTGAGGGCTGTCTGTTATTGTTGAATTAGCTGATTACCTAAAATGCGCGGTTTGTTTCAACCTACAATAGTTATTATTTACCACTAAGCTATGCCTTTGTTAATATATATATGCATACATTATATTTTATCGGATACCTTGACGCGCGATGTCTTATGTAGGAGTAAGTTGGAAGGAAGCCTGATACGGTTAAACCAAGTCATTAGATAAGTTCATGAAGAAACCGATTGTTGTACAGAGCCGTGCAGACAATCTGACCGGTGTCCGTGTAATTGTCGCGACCAATGGTTAGGGACTGGGTAAAAAGAAGCTCAGAATCGTTTACAATGGCGCACCAGATTTATTCATTCTCTGTCTTCCTTCAGATCATTAGTTCATTAATTCTCATACATTTGATACCACTGATCCATATTTTCTTCGATGCTTAATCCTCTCCATTACCACTAATGTTCTTACTACCACTGATTGTTAGTTATTTTATAACTAATTGTAGTTATGCCATAACTAATCAATCATATTGTGGTTTAAGCGCCCACCAAGTAATCTGAACTGACATGTCTGTAAACCTTCTTTGTTGTAAATGACTTACAAATGGATTGACATTATTATCTTATTATATTGATGTGACTCATAACTGTACTCATTTCCATAAGACACGCTATATTGGTCGGTATGTTTGCTTGTCTTACTTGATAATTGTAATTTCCTTACTTATTGTACTAATGTAATTGTTTTTATGTTTAGAAACAGATAAAGTTTCAAGCAAAGTTGATCTTCTTTTAACTGTAGCTTTCCCATAGACTCTGTGCTCGCCAATATTGCGTTTACAGTTCTAGAATTACATCTGTAGGACAAATTACATCCTACACTGATAATCTGGTATTATATTCTGAAAATTTCATCTGGCTGTAATAATGGATTATTGGTGGTAACTTGAACCAATATACACATATGCCAAATTGTGCGTTGCGTTTAGTTGACTGATATGAATATTCCCAGAAAACAAGTCTTCTGACCTACAGGTGCAACATTCCAACTTAGTTAAAAACTAATTCCTTTAACAAAGCAGTTTATTCGTTTAATATCTAATCAATTTTTATACAATTTTATAATCATATCATTGACTTGACAGAGTAAAAAAGGAAACGAAAATTAATCTAATCCCTTTTTGATAGTAGGCAATCACATATTCATCATGGCAAATATGCATAAATCTATACAAGAGTAGTGTATTTTTTTTAATTTCAAAGGAAATTTCTATGATACAAACAAAAGCTGAAGTTGTCAACATTAAAAATTCACACAGTATAATAAGACAAAAGCCAATACTAACAAGTAATTTCATTTACAACCATTATTAACAGTGCTTGTTTCAACCACTACATTTGATTTGAGTGTTAAATAAAAATTGCATATAGCTGATTTCCAAATAGTTTTAGGTGTAGGCTTTGTAGACAATAATGAATTTTGAATATTGGAACCTGTACAAATAATACCAATTAAACTATTTTCTGTTAAATCTGTATATAACTTTGTACAGAATTTAGATACTTTATGGTAGGATTTCTGCAAACGAAAAACAACATTGAACAAAGAAAATTAATAATACAAAGTGATTTTATTAGCAAAGAATACAATTACGGCTTGGTAGACTGTTCAACTTGAGAACTAAAACATGTATTTGATATTATTACCGTTTATATAATTAATGAGTTACAGAAACCATCTCTATAATGGTTGATCAGTGAATATGTTGAGACAATATTGTTGTTGCTGAAAATATACGAACGACAAACTCTATTTGACATACACAAGTTATAAATGCAATTCAAAGTAAGACTGTTCATTAAGCCAGTAGTGTTAGATAGTCTAAGTTGGTACAGTTGACGAGAATTTATTAACATATAAGCTGTGCTTAGATTGTAATGGCTTGTTTTAACCCAGAGGACGAGATATAAAATAACGTCCGAGTTTTTTAAACCTCGTAACTTACTTGATAACAGTATGGTATTAAGAGCAACAACACGAAAATAAAATAACCTAAATCCTGATGGCTGCAAGCAGTTTTTAAACATTCATTCGACTGAGGTGATTGAAATATGCGTTACATATGGATAACCATCATCTACCTCGATGTGCAATGTTAGCTGTGGAGTACATTGGAGGGGAGCTAGATGTTAGTTATTTTATAACTAATTGTAGTTATGTCATAACTGACCAATCAGATTGGTTAAGCGCTCACCACGTCATCTAGTCTGACCGGTCTATGGACTTTCTTGTTGTGAACGGCCTATCGATTGAAGGATGTTATTATTTTATTTTATATAGATGTGACTCATGTTTTTTATTCATTTTCTAAAGACACGCTATACTGTCCGGTACGTTTGCTCATCCTGCTTGATAATTGTAATTTCCTTATTTATTGTACTAAATTAATCGTTGTCTTTTTGTTTAGAAACAGATAAAGTTTAATACCGAATTGTCTTCTGTTAACCATAGTTTCACTCTGGACTCTGTCATCGGCGGTATTTGCGTTTACGTCTTAGAATTACATCTGTAGGACAATTAAATCCTACACTAGAGGCGATCTGACCCATATGTAGCATTACCCCATGAATTCATTGTTATGTTGCTAGATGCAGACTACGTGGTCGCCGTCCGCGCAAATGATGGGTGGTATGCATCAAAATCGGTCACTGGTACAGATGCATTCATGCTTCCCTAACCTCGAAATCTTGAGCTTCATTGTTCTGTTCTGCATACCTTTCCACGCTTTTTCTAGTCCGTACTCTACATATTCAGTTTTTCTCATTCCTACAACTAAGGAATGCCAACTTGAACTCAGGTATATTTATTAGAGATTTCATGTTACAAATGATTCTTTCAGTTACCTTTCACACATATGTGCAGTATTTTTCGATACTGTTTTTTTATGTGGATTGGTTATACCACTCGGTGGTCAAAACTATATTCAATGGAGCAAAGCTAGGACCTGATAGCGCCTACCAGTAAATCACTGCCACTAACGTTGATTCCTAAATTTTCGGGAGTCGACTTTCTACCAGGAAAATTGCTTACTGATCTAGAATATGCCGATGAGATAGTTCTATTCGGTGAAGACGCTGAAAAAATGCAGAGTCTCCTGACTACCCTAAGCAACAATGCAAGCATGTTCGGGATACGGTTCTCACCCTCGAAATGCAAAATGTTGCTTCAAGATTGAGTTTCATCGGCACCTGAAATGGTAATAGGGGGTGAAGTAGTCGAGTGTGTTGACTGCTTCACTTATCTGGGGAGTCTCATCAGTGCTGATTGCCTGGTGACTGACGAAATCTCAGCACGGATACAGAAGGCTCGATTGGCTTTTGTCAACCTGCGTCACTTATGGCGTAGGCGAGATATCCGTTTGCTGACTAAAGGACGAGTGTACTGCGCAGTAGTTCGCTCCGTCTTACTTTATGGCTGTAAAACATGGCCAGCGAGAGTGGAAGATATTCGTCGGTTACTGGTTTTCGATCATAGGTGTTTTCGAAGCATTGCTCGTATATCGTGGGACACCCGAGTGAGCAACGCTGTTATTAGGGAACGGGTGCTAGGTAAGAATGAAGTAATGAAACTTCATCAGTTGAGGTGGTTGGGACATGTGTTGCGTATGCCTAACCACCGACTGCCTCGAAGAGCTTTGTTTTGTAGTGTAGGAATAGGTTGGAAGAAAGTTAGGGGCGGCTAAATCAAAACATGGCAGAAATCCATGAAGTCATTGACGAGTGGACTTAGCATGTCGGTAATTGTCAACTACCTGGTTGGGGTGCGCGAGATGAAATTCCTCATTATCTCTACCTTTCTCCTTCTAAATTTATCTCACTGAATTATACTTCTGGAATCATATCTTCGCTCCCTAATCTTCTCCATTACTGCTAATACTTCTATTATTGCTATCACTCTTGGATTTGAACTGACAGTTGCGTTTCTATGCTGATGTGGTATGACAACCTGAACTGATGTACTTACGTACGAAGTTCTGCGTTGTATCTGTCTGTCTGTCTGACAAAATATAGAATAAAAGTGGCTCAATATTTAACACTGAAAAGATAGAAATCGATTGACGGGTCTATTTTTCACAATTACCATCAAAATATTTGTAGAAAAAACAGGGCACCTAGTAAGAAGTCCAACCTTGTGAAGGAGTTACCCACTAGTAGCATTGCAATAAGGTTGAGTAAGCTGGCGATGCAAAAGTGAGTGTACGAGTGTTTATCTAGTACAACTTACTTTACTCCGTGGTTAGTGAGTACGAAGGGCTTACTTAATGTTGTCACTACTATTTCGAGTACCCAGTTTTATCAGATTATGAGAATTGAACGGACGGGATTCAACAATCGTTTGCATTTAGATATGTCAACCACTAACTGGCAACTAGGTAGTTTTTAAAGGTTATGCACTCATAACAAGATTTAAAGAGCCCGGTGGCGTCATAGATATACTTGCTGTTGTTGAGTAGTCCCATATAAAGACCAAACAGTTAAGCAGTGCTTTTTAATTTTCAGTGACTACCTTAAAACAAAAAAATTTGGTTGATGATGATGTAAACTATGAATTTCAATCATTTGCATAAAAAACTAAAAAACTAGACAACTTACAGTTTTATCCCATTCAGGTGAACAATTCGCCTGTATTATTACTAGTCTATGTGAATTACATAAATCAACAATGTAATTTGATAATTTTTTCGATATTTTATTTACAACTGTTACAGTTTTTGTAGATTCATCGTCACCATCATCATCACCATCACCATTAGTAGTAGTACTAGTAGTGGTGATAGTGGTGGTAGCATGATCATTATTAGTCATTCGATCATCAGTTGAATTAAAATCTATAGGTATGAAAATATCACTGTGTTTAGAATTGCTAGTCAATTGTTCCTTTTCTTCGTCTTGTTTTTCACTTTGTTGTTGCTGTTCCTGTTGTTGTGGTTCTTGTTGTTGTTCCTCTACTCCTAAATCTTGACATACTGGCCAATAAGCATAGGTTACACCGGAATCATGCAGTAAACGATTGAACAAATGAAATGGTTTACCCAATGTTTTATAAAATGAAGATAATTTTAAAAGACGATCTTGAAAAACTGGATGAATTTCAAAATATTTACATTCTGTTAATATATCATTATAGGTTAGTGAAGTAATTTGACGATTGTTGTTAGGAGTATTATTGTTGACAGGAATGACGGTTGTTCCTTGCTTTAAACTACCATTGATGTTTGAATTTTGATTGTTTCTAGTTGATGCAGTAAATCTAGGAGACTTAAAAGATGAAAATAATTCGTTTGATAATTTATTTATTTATTTAACGAAATTACTTATAATTTTTTTTTTATTTAAGTAAACACTACTCATATTGTTCTCTATCAGTAGTTTACTTTTCAAATAAAAAAAAACAGGCTGGCAGGATAAAAAGCCCTGATTATTGGATGTTTAAGTCGAGATTGAAGAAGAACTCATCGGTTCATTTTCAACCAGTAAGCATGTGTTGAGATACTAAAAGATTCATAAGTAAATTCTACAAAAACTCCAATATATTTATTTACATTATCTTCATTCTTAAAAAATATTGAAATGTATACTTGCTCGTTATCATTGCATGCTCTAATTTGTGAAAAGTCGAATGATGTAATGTTATTCAGAGAATACTAGAAGGAAGGAAAAAATAACCATTCATTAATCTGTCGAATTTCCATCTGGAAAATATACTTTTGTCGGTCTAACTTTTCAGGTGTTCAACTTTTACAAGGAGATTCACTTATCGACCTAGAATATGCCGATGACATAGTTTTACTTGTTGAAGACGCGGAAAAAATGTAGTCCTCTGACACTTTAACCAACAATGCAGGCATATTCAGGATGCGGTTTTCCCTGTCAAATTGCAAAATGTTGCTTCAGGAATGGTTTGCGTCAGCACCTGAACTAGTAATAGGGAGTGTGAAGCAGTTGAGCGTGTCGACCGTTTCACTTATCTTGGGAGTCTAATCAGTACTGATGGCCTGGTGACTGACGAAATCTTGGCGCTGATACAGAAAGCTTGACGGGCTTTTGCGTTACTGATGGCGTAGGCGAGATATCCGCTTTCTAACCAAAGGACGAGGGTACTGCGCATCAGTTCGCGCCGTCCTACAATATGGCTGCAAAACATGACCACCAGTAAGAGTAGAGTATATTTGTAGGTTACTGGTATTCAATAGTAGGGGTCCTCGAAGCACTGCTCGTATATCCTGAGACCATTGGATAAACAATGCCAGGGTTAAGTAAAGAGTACTCAGTAAGGATGGCAAATCAATTACTGAAGTAGTAAATCATCACTCGAAGTTGCCCAACCACCTACTGCGGTGCGCGCTACTTATAAGTAGTATATGACGTGAGCGTCAACGTAATGTCTGGCAGCAGAAGATGGGGGAAGATCAAGAAAGGAAGAGTGGAAACACAATGGAATTTGTATGAAACGCATGAATAGTGAAATGTTAGACAATGGATTGATGATGGATTGAAGATTTGCAAATTAACGGTTACGATATGGTTTTCCTATTTTACTGAGTAACTCTGTAATTGTCGTTAAATACAATTCGGTTGCCCTCACCTGTTTTCTCCTTCACTACACTACCACCTCGACGAGCAATGTTACCTAGCATGAGAGTAGGCAGTAAGAAAGCTAGGGGCGATCAAAACGTGACACAAATCTGTGAAGTCACTGACGACTGGATTGAGTCATGTTTGGTCAGTGATTGAAGAGGAAGATGTTCAATTACACTAAGTATATGAGACCATCTTATATGATATAAAATTCATTCTACTCACAGATTATTTTGCATTTGTGCTTAAAAGACACTCGTTCTTGATCGAATCGTTAGATTTTCAAATGTATGTATCACGTGATGCAGTATTCCTATCTTATGCTGACAAAACGAATCATTTTATACCTATTAAGCATGATAATAAAAATGCTCCTAACTATATATAGTTAGTAATATCAAGACATAGAAATTACATTTCAAAATACCTTGGTTTCTATCGGTAATTGATAATCTTCCGGGAAACGCCAAGATGTAGTCACATCACCAAAACCAATGTCTAGATAAATGAAATAATTACATATATGAAGTGAACACAAAAATAAATCAGTCAAACATTTATAAACAATTTTATGTTTTTTTTAGGAAACAAATGTGATGACATTTAATAGTTCTCACCATTTATTTTGAATCAATTTTTTAATGATTTTTTTAACGATTCTTATCCAACGATATCGATCAGTAATCGTATTTAACTTTCGTTTATCAAGTACGTTTGTATACTCGACCTGCTTTTGGTAAATCTTAGTGATATTACTCGATTACTCAAATAGAAATAGATTGGTTGCGGTTCGAACCCGTCAGTGAATGGTTCAACTTTGTGCGTTTTGATTAGAAAACTATGCTGCACCAACTTGAAATACATTGATAACATTGATAGCTACTATCGAATCATAAATCATGATCTTACTTAACTGACTTTCGTTATTTCCCTCTTAAGTTTATCAATTTTAAGCATCGGAATGATTGTGGGCTTTACTCATTTCTTACTTAGTTCACAATAAGCTAACTAACTAACTGTCCATCACTATGTACAACAAACAACAATTTTTAATAATAGCTACTGTTTCAAATATACATGATTGATTTATGCGTAGAGTAAACATTTATTTAAAATATATTGAGTTGTTTTTTTTTATTTAGAGCGAAAACAACAGAAACAACCAACATAAAAGACAATGCATTACTTTGACTTAATTTTAGCCGTACAAGATCCATTGTAGCAATTGCATCTTCGGCGGAAGAATGACCTCCTTTCCCAGTTTGAATCATTCGTCTAAAGGAAAATGTATGCAAACAAGTATTGTGAAGTAATTAATATTTTGTATCTCAAATGGTTGATTGACATACGACACATTATGAAATAGTGGAGAGACACATTCGAACTAATTGATGTTCTTAATGATATCAATGTTAAAAGAAAGACGATGCATTCTTTTGATGTAAACTGCCTTTTTACCAATGTACCTCTAATCAAAACTATTAGCTTAGCCATCAGCAACAACCTACTATAAGAGAGAACAAACCAGATCCTAGCGCAGGAAGAATTCAGCAGGAAGCGCTGGAAATGGATAGAACACACATTAAAGAAGGCACCCAACTGCGTCACAAGGCAAGACTTCACTTGATATCCTCAAGACCAAAGGAAAAGAGGAAGGCCAAAAAACACATTATGCCGAGAAACGGAAACAGACATGAGGAGAATGAATAGTATTTGAATAGAACTGGAAAATAAGGCCACAGATAGAGTAGGTTGAAAATTGCTGGTCAGTGGCGTATGCTCCAGCAGGGGTAACAGGTGTAAGTAAAAAAGGGCAAGTAAAATGAAGAAGATATTCAAGGAATTCTATACAGCTGTGATTTGGTGGAATCTGTTCGAATTCGTTAAAGCCTCTGGAGGCTTCGTTGGACTTTCTGGGAGCCATCCCGACATTAGGAAACTCAGCGACGCTTGATGCCATTAATTTTCCATAAACCTGATGTTAAATTATGTACACCAGTCGTTGGATTAAATGGAATCTACACACAAACAAAATGATTTTGTTCTGATTCTGCCGCAATCACTGTTTTTATGTCAAATGAAAATTCTGATGATCATTGAAAAAAGATTATATCCAAAATAAAGATACATGAGTTAGTTAGTATTTACGGACAGAATAATCAAAAAAAAATTTTTAGAACTAACCCAAGAAAATGTTCTGATAGAAAACGAAGACGTGCTTTAGCCGCTCTAGTGCCTTTCATATTATAAATGACACTTGTATCAATTACGTATGGATGAAAAACCTAAAAGTATTAAGATAATTAAACAGACACATTCATTTTTAGCGAAAAGAATTTAAATGAAGCAATTTATTTGGAATTCACAGATTTTTTCTATCCAATAAGAGGTTGAAGAAAAAAACGAGAAGAGACGTACTGCAAAAGGAATAAGCAGAAGATGACAATTCAACGTGGATAGGTTGGTTGGAACACTCGAATTTTAGTCACTAAGTCGCAGCTTTGGACCTTGTTACAGGTATTTTGGTTCTGATAACCGCGCAGGTAAGAATGGCAGATCAATAGATGAAGTGGTGAAACTTCATCAGTTGAGGTGGTTGGGACATGTGTTGCGTATGCCCAACCACCGACTGCCTCGTCGAGCTTTGTTTTGTAGTGTAGGAATAGGTTGGAAGAAAGTTAGGGGCGGCCAAACCAAAACATGGCAGAAATCCATGAAGTCAGTGACAAGTGGACTGAGTCATGTTGGTAGATGTAGGCTATCTGGTTGGGGTCCTCGAGACGAAAGTCACCAATGGTTAGAGACCTTGAACTACATGGCTCAAAACCGTTCGCAATGGTGCCGGTGCATTTATCCTTTATGTTCTCTCAAATCCTAATCTTCTGGATTCTTCAACCCCTCTAGTTTTGATTTTCTAAACTTTTCTCACTGAATCATATTTCTTGAATATCTTCTAATCCTAACCTCTCCGATTACTTCTAATACCCGTACTAACTCTTCTACTATTGGATTTGAATTGACAATTACATCTCTGTGCTGATGTGGTATGGCGACATGAACTGATGTACTTACGTACGTAGTTCTACGTTGCAACTGACTGACTGACTGACTGATAACCGCGCAGTACCACTACTAGGCATCATACTTGGATTGTGATTAAGGGCCAACTACGTGTAAATTAGTGAAATAATATATGTCTGACAGAAGAATGTTTAACATTAATTTGTACGGAAAAGTAGATTTCAGTGACTTTTAACTCAAAGTAGTATATAACTAATGAGAAATATTTTTTGGACATCACATAGATAATTTAACTGTGAAGAAAATGTTAAACCAAGCAAGGCAATTTGTGAGTCCACGATCACAATGAATTAGATTACGTAACTACAAGTTAGTAGTAGGAAGACAAAAAAGTTTTGCAGAGAGTTATTAAGGTTTGAACTACAGAGACAAGATCCTATGCTTTGTGTATTTATTTTCAATTGATTTACGGATATACAATGGATGACAGTATTTAGTTTAAAATAATCTACGTTTGTTTCTTTATAAAAAGAACGTTACCTAGCAATTTACTAATGTTATGGCGGGCACTTAAAGAAGATTGACTATCTTCTAGAACTGTTTTTTCTGCTTAAGATTCATTATTTTTGGTTGTATACAAAGTAAGCATTTTATTCCTATTATTGTGACGTTGCTCTTATCCTATACTCTTGTTTGAGGCATTAACTGTTGTTATATCATTTCTCATTTATGAACTATAGTTAATTGACTGCTATGCGTTACCCCAGTTCACACTCACTATTACTGTTATTTTGTATTGATGTCAGTTTTCTAATTGGTTTACGATGCAGTCTGATTTCGCATGTATATAAAGGCATGATTGAAATAATAAAGAACGATCTGATCTGATCTGTCTGTCTGACTCATAAGTCGTTGTTTTTCCTCTATTCCGTGGGGCTGGTAATTGAGAGGCTGACGTGTCTGTACAGTGATTAGCGATCATCAAGGTCATTGTATATATTGCACAAACACAATAACTAATTTTTTTTTTTAAAAAAAAGAGGAGTTCACTTACCTTCATAGCTTCTAAATCATTTCCAATTGAATGACCTACTAGGATAGCATCTCCTGGTAATGTTTCAGCTAGTTCACGTTGTACATCTGCCAGTGTAGTATCTATCAATGCAAGCATTTCTCTAGTGATACCACTGAATCTGAAATTTGAAAAATGGTTGTTAAAAGTTTGTGGAGATTGTTGGATTGTATGTATAGTTCACATCATGGATTCAGTTAAGTTTGAAAATTATTGATAGCCAAGAATCGCTACACGGCAGCTTCTTTTTTTAGTACGAGACTCGCTGGTCTAAAAGTAGGGCGCTTGAAGAGAGACCTGAAATTTTTGGGTTTGATGCCCAATGAAATAACGGATGCGCACCGCTGAAGAATCATATATACTAGGACGAAGCAACCATCCAGTGATTCCTAGTTTCCAAAGTTTATCTAAGGTCAGTAAGTGATGTAGACTATAAGGTGAGTTCGTGGATTTTCTATTTAACGCTTTTTTTTCAAATTATAAATGTACAAGGTAGGAAAACCTACGAAACCGCCTGGTTCACATCTGCTATGTTGTTCTGTTATCAAATACATGATAGAGTGAAAACTTTTAGTGTCAAACAAAACTACACTTGATTAGTTGAAGACCGGTTTTTGTAAGTGAAGCGTATATCTTTGTATCAATTACCTCCACAAGCCTGACAGTAGACAATGTATGCACTTAGTAGTTTGGTTGTAGGTAGCTAAAAAAATAATAGTCAAGAAGTTTGTATGTATCTGTGGGTGATAATGTGGTAGAGAAAAGTGACAGCTGAATTTTAATTAGTTCTGCTTTACATAGATGAAAGTCAATCCTCCATAAATTAGAAAATTAGAAAACGACTTTCAATATATACAATCATTGTTATCGAATCGATGATTGAATGAAAGTTCATAACTTTCAGCATTAGCAAATCATTGTTTAGCATATATGATTAGCATCCTCGTTTTTCCTTCAATATCAGATGAAAGAAAACAATTTGAGTCAAACAATTTATAACATAGTTAAGTGAAAAATAATCTTGGTGAATGTTACTAGATACTGCTAATAATAATAATAATAATAATCCGTAACTAACATGTTGCATTTTATGTTGTGATATATGATAATGTTGACACGGATGCACACACTTTCTATGATGATGAAAAGATTTCAATATGTGTGTCGGTTGTTTGAATCTATCGCAGTTTAAAAAATACCTGTGACTTAATAGCAATATTTAGGGAATTCGTACATGATGCATATGTGCCTAAAACGACTGATCAAGTGCAGTTGCAAATAGAAATTGAAAAAAATTCATACAACTAATACACCCGAATTAAGCCACAGATCATCTGGACTCAATAGCCGAGTGAATAACGTGATGGCATTTGCAGTGAATGGTAATGAGTGATTAATTTTTCAAATTTTCAATGTTTTAATGATTAAGTATCCGTTGGGTTCACTTATAATTTAATCTAGCTTACACAATAAGATATAAGCTAGCTTTCATTAGGCGAAAAAATTTAGCAGCTTCTATCTTAAGTTTAATTGGTTCGTGTTAGCTTTGTATAATTTTTACCAGGAATTCGAGCATAAAAAGGGAATAGGTTGAGAATACTTTCAGAATATCTTTACATATCAAAACACACAACTTTCAAAATTCTTAGTTCAATAGTTAAACAATTCTTTTGGTATATGTTGATGTCTTGAACAAAAAAAATATGTATTTTTAAGTATAACCTTACCTAGTTAAGTAGTCTTTGACAGGATTTGGTGGTTTCACTAAACGATCGAACATAACTGTTGCTTTCTCATCAACCATAGTCACTCGAGCCAATTCACTTCCCGCGGATGTAAGAACCATTTCACAATCTACTGCAAACATTGGACTGTTGGCTGATACAGGAAGATATACAGACTGTAGTAATAATAATATAAGAGAGTTACAGGAAAATAACGTTAGTATACTGATTGCATGGGTGATTGTTTTTCAGTGTGTACATTTATGATTCTACTTTTGGTTTGACAAATACCTGATGGATTTCAGATCGCTTGATAGAAAAAAATATATAAGATTCTTATCCGCTTGCTTAACCACCTAAGCAACCGAGAAGACTTAGAGATGACAAGAAAGCTGGACTTGGGGAACCAAATCAACGGGTGAACAAACTATTGGTATATATATATATATATATATATATATCGGTTGCTAAGCTCTGAACCAACTGATGCAAAGTCTTCAATTTTATGTCAGATTTAGTTCAAATACCTTAGTATTCATTTCACTGATAACACAGGTTCGAACATCATACGGAATATCAGTCTCCTTAAAAATATAGATACATCATATTTTCGAGTGCCGATAAGCATTACTTTCCGTTAACTGTTCTCAACCACTGAATATACCATACAACAAGGATGCCTCATGACTCAGTTAATCCTAAATCAGGTGCGAACAGAAATTTTTCAATACGAAAGCGTCTCATTCAAATTCTTGTCCCTATAGGTTGAATTTAGTTTACTTGCGGAATTGGAGTATTCAAGTTCAACGTATCGAGTAGCAATTACTGTTACTACTTCCTTTGATACATCTTGCACAATCTCAAAGTACTAGTGGTGTTTACACAGAAAATTCAAGTACACAAATATATACTTGGTTACTGAATAACATTCAACTAAGATAAATCATACAGATTTAAAAGCGGATATCTGGTTCCCAGCAGGTTGTTTTGAACACAGCAAATTAGTGAAAACGAATGATTAGTTAGCAGTAAGCCTATCATCTATCAAGCTTCTCACAGTTTTATTCACACGTTTGGTATGTACTATCTGATGTGATAGATTATAGACAGTAATATCTATTATGGCAGCTATCTGCTTAAATTTCATGAAATAAAACTAAGTTTGGTCAACGCAACCCATAGATATTGAGGTTCAAGTACACCAAGCTAACAAGCTGAAGAGAAAGCATGGTATTGAATAGCCATAAATGAATATTTAACGTACATAAAACGAAAAAACCTGAAAATTTTATGATTATTGAGCACAAACTGTTTACACAATAAATTCAGTGTTATTTAGATGTTATAGAAAGAAATATAAGATATCCGATGAATTACTTATTGTTGTAACAGTTGCTTACGATATTTCCCGGCTAAATCTTATTGCTTAGTATTCTTGACACAAAACACTGGACAAGTAACACAAATCAAAACACGGTTGAACAGGAAGGATTGTATTCCAAAATAGCAAGGAAAAGAAGCTGGAGGTGATGGCGAAAGCCAAGGCAAAAGGGCTTGAAAGCGAAGAAGGCTAGAAGG